ATGTTTCATTTTTTTTCGTACAGTTATGGATCCCTTTTTGCTAGTACCCGTACCTCAGTCGCAATTGCTGGGCAAGGTCCACGTGTCAGCTGCTTCTTGGTGTATCACCCTGCTGCTTCTGGAGTCAGCTGGTGCGGTTCGAGATTCCGCGCCGATGCGTTCTGGTTTGGGTTTGGTCCGGCATTGGCAAATTGTGCTACATTGGGGTGATCCTCAAAATGAAGGGCTCGATTGGAAAGGCTGCCCGTGATTAGCGGGAAGAGCTGCAAGTCGATTGCTGACATCAGCGTGGGCGTTGTGACATCCACGTTTTCCACTTTACGTTGTCGTTTTGGTAGCGAGGCTCAGGTGTGAGAAGGGTTTCCGAGTGGTTCATAAATCCAAGGTACAGTTAGCCTGGAGCCTGAACATTTTTGTGTTCTCCTAATTCTCACCCTCCTGTCTGTCGTTTTTTCTGTACAGTATCCTGCCATTTTTTGTGAGACCACAGCTGTAAGTTCCAGGGTTCTGCGACGCTGGTTTGGCTTGGGGGGGATTTGAGGGCTGCTGGCCCCGTGGATGAGGTCGAGATCACAGAGAAGTTTCCTGACCCTGCTGCTTGTTCCTTCCCAGCCGCCACTTGGACACCGTACTGTCGGGGTGTAGCTTGGCGCGCTGGGGTGGCACCTCTGGCCTGATGTGTCAGTGGTTCGGAAGGTTACAAGCCTACAGCTTCGAGAGCCTGCTTGCGTGTCGATCAGGCTCGTCTCCTCGATCTACGCCGAATCTCAGGAGGGCTAGCCAACCATTTGCACGTTGTTTTTACACGGTTGCGTTGTTGCCTCGAGCAAGAATCCACGTCAAGTACCCGTGAAAAGAGAAACGCGAATGTAAACACCTCAGACCTGCAGCGTTTGGAGTACTCAAAATCGCAAGCCAAGCCTACCAGCGATTTGTCTCCTGAATCTGGAAGTGAGACCCTACACATAATTCGGGAACCTAAATTAGCAGAAAGTAGCTGTTCGGCACCTGCTCTCAGCGTTCATGAGTGCAGGATACAAGAACTACCCGTACTTTTCTAGTGCTAGCATCCACATGGTTCTGTCAGCGCATGTTGCAGCCGTCGCCCAGCATTGGCTAAGTTTTCCTTTGGTTGAATGGCGGGCTGTTCTAGGCGCTCAAGGCCTCGTCACCAACTCCTCCAATCAGGCCAATTTCTGAGGAGCAGCCGCCACACCACAACCAGCTCATCTCGAACCGCTAGATGGGTCCTGAACCCTGATTGATGCACGCGATTCGATGCCAGTCCGCACTTGGACAGGGAGGTCGTCAAGATCTGAGGCTGAGATGCAGGGATCGCGTGTGGCCACGGGAGGCGGCAGGCCCGCAATTCACTAAAATCTGACGGGACGGGACAGAGAGGAGGCGAGGAGGGACGGACGGAGACGGACGGACGACGAGATCTGTTGACGGACGCGGCTCTGGCCAGGCGGCCTAGAGAGTGTCTGTCTACGTTTTGCTCTGTGTGCCCTCTGTCCCTCGGTCTTGTGCTGTTCGCGTTACGGTACGAGACACCAAGGTCATCCTCCTCAGACTCATACCAGCAACCTATTTCTGGCCCCCAAACAATTGCGCTGATCTGGCCAGAGCTGGAGGAAACAATGGAGGCCTTTCCACCACATTCTTCACCTCCTCCCCGGATTCCGCGGCTTTTTGGACAAAGCACCGCCCAACAGGAGCACCTCTTCAATCCACTCCACACAAATTGACGCCTTGCCTGCCCCTGCTTCTCCGCCAGACATATGGCAACTGCGGCGTTACTTTCCTTTTCCATCACTAATCCGCTTGCTTCTCCCCTTAGATCTGCAATGCGAGATGATCAGCTAAGCGCTCTAGCAGGCGTAGCTGCGCCGCCTAATGACCAGACCCAAACCCGCGCAATAACCCTCTTATGTAGCCTTTGAGACGCGTGAGCATAGATTACTCCGTTTAATGTGAAAACCAGCGCGATCTACGGCATGCAACACGCTCATTCAGCACAGCTGTCGGACTTATTTTCTATTCATCTCCCCGTAAATGGCCTCTGTGATCAGCCCATCCACACCGTTCCAGTGCATTCAGTCTCCCACTAACAGCCCAGGATCCATCAACGTCAGCCATAATACCTCCAACACCACCACCATCACCGAGTCCCGCACCGTCTCTTGCGCCGCACCACCGCGAATCAAATCCATGTCTTCGCCGCTTAGCAACCGGCCATCGAGCTCATTGTTATCAGAACCAGTTCCTCCGCAAGCCGGCCCGACTAAAACATCAGGACCCGCCGGCTCCCACCCCCCCGGATCCCAGTATTCGTCATCGCTCCAGCAAGTAATTTCTCAAAAACCTCTATCTAGGTGCGACTCCCCGGCGCAGGCGCTGCTTCTGCAGTCCAAGTCCCCGCCGCTCTCGCCCGCGCTTGTCGCTATCCCAAGCGCTGCTTCCCCCTTCTCCCCGCATACGCCCCCCGTGCCGAGGTTCGCGGCGAGCAATGCGGCTGGTCGATCGCAGCTGCCGCATCTCGCGCTCCCCAGCCCGGATCCGAATCAGGGAAAGTCTGCTCGTGATCATCCCATGGCGGAATGCAACGAAATGGTTACCATTGCGGATGGTGAAAATAACCCTTTGAAGAAACAAGCGAATTCGTCCGAGTCGATCGCAGCGGCGGGAGCCGAGAGCCGTCAGCTTTCTGTACCACCCTCAGAACCGACAAATCCTAACGATTGCACAAGGTAAGGGTACGATGCTCACTGAAAGAATGTGATTGCATATCTGTCGTTTCGATCTCTGCTGAAGCAACCCCCTTGAAATATGCGGCATTTCCCCTCCCCCTTCCTTTGCCCTCAATCTTTCCATTGCTGTTCCATTTTCCCCGTCATCGGCTCGACTCGCGTTCTTCCGCTCCGTCGCGGTCGCAGCCCCAACGGCAAGCGAAAGCGCCAAGCCGAACCGCGCGACTGCTGCGACGCGCATTCACCCCCAGCCCCGCCTGCTGCGGCGCCAGCGGCGGCCGCGGCGACGAGCGCGTCAGGAAGCGGTGCGGGCCTGAGCGGTCCAATGGACACAGGATCTGACGGCCAGCCGCCTGTGGATACTCCGTCAAGAGACATTGACGTCAAGCTGGCTCCTCTAATGGTCAGGACCTGCCTCGGAATGTTTGTCGGTCTTCCTTGTCCCTTATCCCTCTTTTTCTACTTTCTTCCTCTGAAGGGGAAATCCTGACCCTCGCCCTTTTTGTTTTGTATTTTGTTGTTGTTCCTCTGCAGGATTCACCGTCGCCAGTGCAGCTAGCGCCACTGCTCCACTCTCTTCCCCTTCACTCGCACCATCCAGAGCTGCAGCATCAGCAGCAGCAGCAGCAGCAGCAGCAGCAGCAGCATTCTTATATCTACAACGGCCCCGCATCTCAATGCGCCGACGGCCCCCTCTGCACCTCCTGGAGCGCCAAGAAAATCTGCAGCGAACCACCGCTGCAGCCGCAGCTACAGTCGCAGTTACAGTCGCAGGCACAGGCACCCTGCTCGACGAATCCGATGCAGCATCAAGCGCAACCAACGCAGGAGCCGCCTCCGCCGCAGCCGAATCCGCCGACGAATCCGCAGCCGAATCTGCAGCAACAATCGCAGCCGTTTACGCCAGCACCGCCTTCATTCCCCGGTAGCGGTGGCGGGAGCGACGGCGGCGGCGGGCGCTGGAATCAAGTCCAGAGTCTCTCCTTCGCGGAAGCTTCCGTCGCTCCTCTTCCGCCCCCCGCGGAGATTCACCAGCAGGCGGAATCCGGACCGCCGGAGTCCATGGTTGGGGTCAGTGGTTGCGTCGACGGCGCCGGCGGCGACGGCTGCCGCGAAATGCTGCCGATGCGAGATGCATCGGCTCCGGCGGTAGTCGTGGCGTCAGCGCCGGCTGCGGCTGCGGCGGCATGCGCTGCTCCTTCTGCCGCATCGCCGTTGCTCGCAGCGCATAGCGGAAATGCGCCGACAGCATCAGCGTCGCCAGCAACCGCGCCCGCAGCCGCAGGAGCAGGGACAGTAGCACCAGCAGCGGCGGCAACGGCGGTGGCAGCGGCGGCGTCTCCGGCGTCACCCGCCGCCCCTCTAGTCCCGCACATGGCCGCCCTAGGCACGCCTACTGCGTCTCTCGCCGTCACCAAGCCGCCCGTCACTCCCAGCCCCACGGCGCGATCCGCGCTGCCGACCGTCGATGAAACCGCGTCGCCCGGCAGTACCCAGAACCTCCCGCACCCGCTACAGCCGCTACAACCGCTACAGTCGCCGCTGCAGCAGTCGCAGCAGTCGCAGCAGCATTCGCGACAGTCGCGACAGGCGCTGCAGCAGCTGCAACTGGTCGACAGATCGCCCGTCTCCCGGCCGCTGTCGACCGTCCGATCTCCTCTCCAGCGCTCGATCTCATGCTCCGGAGTGCCCTCCGCCGCCCCTCCGCCGTCCCCCCGCTCCCCCAACCAGCTGCGCAAATCCGGCAGCTTCGCCACAACCGCTTCCTCCCCGCGCCTGCTCCCCCTCGCTCCGCGGATTAGGCCCGTTCTCCCGACCGCCTTGGGCGCGCATATCCTCCCCGGCGCGGGCGGCGCGAGCATGATTCCGCCGGTGGGGCAGCGCGGGGCGAAGATTCTGGGGCTTATGGGGCTCAGTATGTCCCCCGGTGTGCTTTCGCCGCTCGTCGCGCGGCCGCCGCAGCTGGGGCATGGCGTCCCAACGCGACCGCCGCCGTCGTCGTCGTTGCTGTCGCCGTTGTCGCCCACACTGTCGCCGTCGCCGCTGCTGTCGCTGCAGCCGCAGCCGCAGCAGCAGCAGCTACAGCAGGTGCAGCAGCACCCGTCGCAGCATCAGTCGCCGTACCCGCCGCAGCTGTCGCAGCAGCCGTCGCCGCAGCAGCAGCAGCAGCAGTCGTCGCCGCAGCAGCTGACCAAGTCGCAGAGCTTTTCGCTCACGCACTCGTCGCTCAAGGCCGGTAATAAGGCCGCCATGCCGCCCAAAAAAGGCAACTTCAAGCGCAGCTTCAGCGCGCCGCGCCTCGCGCTCACTAAAGACGTTCTCCCCCCCCCCGACGGCGCGCCTCCGCCCTCCGCCATGGACGTCGACGGCGGCGGAATCGGGTCCGCGGCGCTTGCGCCGGGCGGAAGGACACCGCAGACTGGCGCACTGCGCGACCCCAGCCTTCCCCCTTCCCCCGCCCCCCAATGGGGTGTGCCCCTCTCCCCCGCACCGCTTCCGCTTCCGCCCTCCGCGGAACACCTTGCGCCGTTCGGGTTCGCCCTGCAGCCGTCCCCTGCGGCGTCCCCCGCGGCGGCGGCTATGGCTGCGCCGCCTGTGGCTCCGTCTCCGCCGCTGCCTGCGGCGATAATGTCGCCGCGACTGCTGCCAGAGGGGTTGGGATGGGTGGATCGACTCTCGAACATCGCGCACCGCAAGGTCAGCGCTTTATCCGCCGCTAAACCTGCCGCGGGCGCGCACGCTGCCGTCGGCAGCCCCGCGGGTGGCGGAGCTGGCGGGGCTGGCGGGGCCGGAATGGCGGGGAGGGGCGCAAGCAGCAGGGGCGCGGGGGAGACTGGCGGAGCGGGGGAGCGGGTGAGCTGCGCGCCGAGCGAGTCAAACACGTACTTTACGGAATCGGCGCGCAGCGGCACCCCTAGCATGAGCGCCGCGCCCAGCGTCACCTTGGGAATGCCGAGCCAGATGCAAGCGAGCCCGTCCGCCGTGAGCCACGTTATCGGGAACGCCAATAACGCGGATGGCGCAACTCGCGGGAGAATCCAGGCGTATGGGGCTCGGAACGTGTCTGGCATGGTTGGGGGGGTGAGTGAGGTAGGGGGAATGGCGATGGATGGGGGAGGCCAGGGAGGAGTGGACGTGGGTGGAGGGGTGTCGTCTCCTTATCGAGGAGGGAATGCGCTGGGACAGCCAAGGGGATTTGGTGGTAACCCGCTGACGCAAGGTTCGCAGCAGCAGCAGCATCACCAGCAGCAGACACAGCAGATGCAGCAGCAGCAGCAGCAGCAGCAGCAGCAGCAGGTGCAGCAGCAGCCGCAGCAGCAGCAGCAGCAGGTGCAGCAGCAGCCGCAGCAGCAGCTGCAGCAGGCGCCGCAGCAGGCGTATGGGTCACCCACCATGGTTCCCCAGCAGCAACAGCCGCATCACGGCGGCGCGTCACCATCGCCACCGTCGCCAATGCAGCTGCCACCCCAGCAGCAGCAGGTTCAGCACCAGGTGCAGCAGCAGCTGCCGCAGCAGTACCCGCCTTCCCCTTTGAGCAGGCAGCATTGCACTGTGCCAAGCTCTCCCGTGAATGCGATGCTGCAGCCAGGGCAGCAGCCGCAGAAGCAGCAGCAGCCGCAGCAGCCGCAGCCGCAGCAGCAGCAGCAGCAGCAGCAGCAGCCGCAGCAGCAGCAGCAGCAGCAGCAGCAGCAGCAGCAGCAGCAGCAGCCGCAGCAGCAGCAGCAGCAGCAGCAGCAGCCGCAACAGCAGCAGCAGCAGCAGCAGCAGCAGCAGCAACAGCATTTGCAATTGACGGGTCCGCCCCAGCAGTTGGCACAGCAGCAGCTGCAGAACACGCCTATTATGCAGAGCCATCAATTTCCGAATCAGTACCAGCAGCAGCAGCAGCAGCCGCAGTACCAGCAGCGTCAGCAGCAGGAGCAGCAGCAGCAGCATTACCAGCAACAGCAGCAGCAGCAGTACCAGCAGCAGTACCAGCAGCAGCAGCAGCAGCAGCAGCAGCAGCAGCAGCAGCAGCAGCAGCAGCAGCAGCAGCAGCAGCAGCAGCAGCAGCAGCAGCAGCAGCAGCAGCAGCAGCAGCAGCAGCAGCAGCAGCAGCAGCAGCAGCAGCAGCAGCAGCAGCAGCAGCAGCAGCAGCAGCAGCAGCAGCAGCAGCAGCAGCAGCAGCAGCAGCAGTATCATCAGCAGCAGCAACAGCAGTACCAGCAGCAACAGCAGCAGCAGCAGCAGCAGCAGCCGCAGCTGCAGCAACAACAACAACAGCAGCAGCAACAGTTCCAGCAGCAAGAGCGACCGCCAATGCCTCCTCCTGCTACCTCCGCTCCTCCACGTTCCCACTCACTGTCTCTTGTCAACCCTCCCTCCCACCTCGCGTCTCTTCACAAATCCGAGTCCGTGTGCGACAGCTCTTACACCTACACCATGCAACCCCCTCTTTCCCAGCATCAGCAAACCCAGCCACACGGGGAGCCCTTCGTTTCCTCTGCCCCTGCCCCTGCTGCTGGTGTTGCTCCCCTTGGTGGCGGGGGTAGTTTTGCCCTTGGGTCGCTCCCTCTCTCCTCTGCTCGCGGCGCTACAGCTGGTCCCGTTACAAGCAACGATCTCCCTCGCTGCGGCAGCACTTCTGTCGCGCCCTTGTCCACTCCCACTCGGCCTCCTCTGCCTCCTCCTGTTGCTGCTGCTGCTCCTCCCGCTCCTCTTCCTCCTCCTCCTGCCGCTACTGCTTCTGCTGATGACTCCCCGTGCGCACCTGCTGCTGGAGGGGCTAAGGCAAATTGGCCGGGGGATGAACCACAGGGGCCAGTACAGGGTCAACTGCAGGGGCAAGGGCAGAGGCAATCGCAGGGTCAAGGGCAGCAGCAGCCTTCGACCCAGAATGCTGCTGTTGTGAATCTCGAGAGTGGTGCTCGTTCATCGCAGCCCTTCAACTCTCTCTCTCCTCCTCCTGCTCCTCCTGCTTCTCCTGCTCCTCCTTCTCCTCTCGCTGCTCCCGCTGCTGCCGCTCCCCCTGCTCCTTCTTCTGCGCCTGCAAACAACTTCCCACCCACCTCCTTCCCACCTGCTCCTGCATCCCTTGCCCCTGCTGCTCCTACCCCTGCTTCTTATGCCTCTCCTCCCCTCCGCCCTGCCGCTCCTCCCTTTTCAACAGCGATCAATACTCCCCCCGCCGCTACCCCTCCCTCCCATCCCCGCCCGCCGCACTTCCACCTCTCCCCCGCGCCTCTCCCGCATGCTGACGTGGATTACATGATGGGCGGGGGTGCGGAGATGGTGGGTGCCACGTGGACAGACGCAGGGCTTGCTACAGTGCACGATCTGGAGCTACAGGAGTTAGAAGTGCTGGAATGGCTGCCGGACAATGATGGCGGAATGGGCGGCAGCATGGGCGGCATGGACGGCATCGACGGCATGGGCGGCGCGGGCGGCATGGGCGGGGAAGAGGATTTCTTTTCGCCCTTGCATGTCTCTGGTGGGGCAATGGGTATGGGCGGGATGGGGGACGTGAGGGGAATGGGCGGAATGGGCGGAATGGGCGGGGTGGGTGGAATGGGCGGGATGGGGGGGATGGGCGGGATGGGGGGAATGGGTGGAGCAGGGGATGCAGGAGCAGGTGGGGAGGGTGGGGGGCAAGGTGCTATGGCTGTGGATGGTGCGAAGTGGGGAGAACAGGGGGAGCCTGCGTATGGGTACCCGCCTGGTGGGGATGCAGGAGAAGGGGTGAAGGGAGAAGATGGGGAAAGAATCGGAACGAGTAGTGAGGCACAGTGGGGTGCACGTGGGGATGGGGTTAGGAGACGGGATGGGAATAAGGATGGGGATGGGAATGGGGATGGGGATGGGGATGCGCTTGTGTGTGGAGGAGGGATGGGTGGAGACGGTGAGGAGGAAGGGGGAGGTATGGGTGATACGGTGGTGGTGTGCCGATCGGGGAGCATGCTTCTGAGTGCTCCCAACACAACGTCTTCTATACTCGAACCCGCTGCTGCTGCCACTGTCACGGCGGCGGCTCCTGCTGCTGCTGCTACTACTGTGCCTGTGCCTGCACGTGCGCCTGTGGATCCAACACATGTTGGATCAGCGCCGGCAGCTTATAGTATGCATGGTGGTGTTGGTGCTGGTGGTGCTGCTGGTAGCGCCTGTGATGGTACGAAAGCGCCTGTTGTTGGTGCCGCAGTGATGGTTGATGGGTCAAACAAGGGAGGCTCCCTGGGAGGGAGTGAGGATGAAGGGATAGAAGTTGGAGGGACAGAGGCAGTACCCCCTACTGCCCCCGCCGCCGCCGCCCCTGCTGCTGGTGGTGATGGTGGTTGTTCTGGTGCTTCTGGTGCTGTCCCTGCCGCTGCCTCTCCTGCACCTGCTGATGCTGCAGCTGGTCCTGTTTTTACTGTGGGAGAAAACGCTGGGGCAGCTGCTGCTAGTGGTGCCGCTGCTGCCATTGCCAGTTCAATCAATTCCCAGCCTGCGCCTGGTGACCCTGCAACGAATGGCACTGAGCAAGGTAACAGCAGGGGGGGTGGAAGTGGCGGGGGCAACGGCAGCAGCAGTGGTGGCAATGGCAGTGGTGGTAGGCGTGGTGGTAGGAGCGGTAGTGGGAGAGGCAAGGACGAAGAGGAGATGGCCCATCTCCAATGCACAGAGGATGTGGTGCAGCTCTGGTGTCCCATGAACGAATGAAACCGGGAAACGAGTCATCTTAAACGGAGGATACTGGGGCAGGGAAGCACATGTACCTGCGGGCTTGCAGGTCTGCCTTGTGCCTTGCGTGACTCCCTCCCTCCCTCCCTCGCCCCGGTTTCTGCTCTTTCTACAGCTGCACCCAACAAGTGTCGTTTATACCGGGACACGGCTTTATACTGCATACTTGTGAGGAAACAGAAACAAGATCAAAGAGTCATGAGGGCGTGCGGTTCTGACTCTCTAGCTGGCTGCCTGCTTGGCTGGCTAGCTGGCTGTCTGTGAAGTCTGGTGGTTCAGCGCTGCTGGTGGCGTGTGGCTGGTTGTGTAGCACTGGCTGTGGCTGTGGTGTTGTTGCTGGTGCAGCCCCCGGGGGGGTGGCGTGTGGCCGGTGCGTCTTGAGTGGACCCCAGAGTCAGCAGCGCTGGCTGTGGTGTGTGGAGTGCTGTAGGCGCCACCATCAAAAGGGCATGGGGTAGGTGTATTGAGAGGGTGGGGGTGGTAAATGGGTGTGTGGGCCGAAGGGGTGTGAGGAAGGCGCAAGGTAGGAGGACCAAGGGGAAGGTTGTTTTGGGGGGGGATGGTGGCTGGATTGGGGGGATTGTGGTGGTTGGAATGGTTTCGGTGGTGGTGGTGGTGGTGGCAGGCTATTTATGCTAATGCTAATCTCACTAACCTTGTTTTGGGGTGTTGTTGCTGAGGAGCACTGGGTTTTCTTGGCCTCTGTTCCATATCCCCATGTTTTCTCTTGTTATGTCTTTTTGAGTGGCGGGTTTGGGGGAGGGGGAGGGTAGGAGGGGAGGAGGGGAGGGGAAGGGGAAGGGTTGCAGTGGTGGAGGGGAGGGTCTCCATGCGATGTATCTTGATTGGGCATGGAAGGAGAAGGCAGTGCCTCGCGTTGTCTCTGGGAATAAGGTTGACAGCTGGAGTGCTCGGCCTTTTGATGTTCCTTTTGATGTGGCATGGGGTTCTTGGCATGGCTTCTAGGGCTCCTTGTGGTTGGAAATTGGTGCTGACTAATTGGGTGATTGTTAAACGCTACCAATTTTTGGATTTGTTGTGCTGCTGATTTTCGTTCCGGATGGTTTGCAGATCTCTGAATTATCTTTGCCTTGACAATTGCATCTGCAATTTCACAGCCTTGGATCCCAAACACAGCTATTTCCACTGCAACTTCATTTGACACCTGTTTATCACCCGAATAATACACTACCATCCGCTAAGACACTGTACCATCGGTAAAGCAAATTCTGTAACAATGGAGAACGTTCACTCGCCACCGTACTAAACGCTTCTGTAGTACTTTTCACCCAAGTGAAACGCACCCTAACCCCGTTACAGCACGATTGAACCGGAACTTCCACCCTCCTCGACACTACCACACCACACACTCTTGCACAGGGGAACAGGCCGATCTCTTGCAGGCATATTCGCTGTTCGTGCTTCGCCTTGTACTTCCAGAATCCAGATCCAGTCGACTTGTGTATTCATCGACTCCTTTATCGGGCATCCTGTTCTCCAGGTCGAGGGTTATCTTGCTTGCCCGCTGCCGCGTTTCCGTCACTTGTTTGGTTAGAGCAGAGATTAGAGGAGATTTACCGCCGCCGCCATTTCATCGCCACGTCACCAGCTGGTGGTAGTCCGAGCATCGTCTGAGAGTTTCAGCCGATCCGTCCGCGTTGTTGGCCGTCTTGAGTTTCGTTATTGTGGGGCTGCAGCCGTCGAGACCGTATTTGGAAGTCTCAATTCCAATCTGATCGCGGGATCTTTTCCCTTACAAACTACTCGCTATAAGGCGAAATTCGATGAGCTACACTGTATCCCAGCATGCGTACATCAAGGCGTCACTGCACTCGATCAAGTTCCCATACTCACCGGTTCTCGGCGTCTTGATAGGCAAGGTGCGGGACGGAAAGAATGGCAGCGGAGGAGCGGCGGATGCGGAGAGCTCTGGCGGGAGCGCGGGGAAGGCGGAGGTAGAGGTGGAAGATGCTGTGCCTTTGTTTCATGGCTCCCTGCTGCTGCCGATGCTGGAACTGGCGCTCATGCAGGTACAGTTCCAGGGATTATTTGAGAAAAGCAACAGAGGGGCCGAGGGGGCGACGGGGTTACCGAATGGGGTGTCAGGGCGAGTCTTGAGAGGTGACGGTTGGTCGGTGAGGCTCAAATGAGACGCCTCAGAAGCTGACTTTTGAGGCGCCTCAAAAGTGAGGCTCATTCGAGACGCCTCAGAAGCTGGGTTGAGGGTGGGGTTGGGAGGTGGAAGGATGAGCATGCGCTGTGGAAGTAGCGGTCGGAATGAATTTTGAGTCGACTCAAAAGTATACGCTGTGGAAGTAGCGGACAGAAAGGGATATGTATATGGCCGATCGTGATCGCGCTCTCTCCCTCCTTCCATGCTGATCCGGCTCGTTTCACCCCCTGCCGTGGCGTGCACTCTAGTTGTGAGGCGCCTGGGCTTGTTTCAAAACTAGGCTTGTTTCACCCCCTGCCGTGGTGTGCACGCCCTTGCACGCGTGCAAACGTGTACATGCATGTGGACATACACGTATGTGAGGTCCCAGGGTTCCTCTCCTCACTCGTGGGGGGGAAGAGTTGTGCGCGTGCACATGTGCACATGCATGCGGTGCGGACGTGTATGTAACCCACGTGCCTGGAGTGTAATCCACAGTGTATGTCCTTCCGTGGCTGGAGTGTTGTCAAGCGGATTGAAAACCCGCTGTGCATGCATGCAACCCCGTGCCCATGTGTCCCCATTTTCCATGTCCCTATCCATCCATCCATCCATCCATCCATCCGTCCATCCATCCATCCATCCATCCGTCCATCCATCCATCCATCCATCCATCCGTCCGTCCGTCCGTCCATCCATCCATCCGTCCATCCATCCATCCATCCATCCATCCATCCATCCATCCATCCATCCATCCATCCATCCATCCATCCATCCATCCATCCATCCATCCATCCATCCATCCATCCATCCATCCATCCATCCATCCATCCATCCATCCATCCATCCATCCATCCATCCATCCATCCATCCATCCATCCATCCATCCATCCATCCATCCATCCATCCATCCGTCCGTCCATCCATCCGTCCATCCATCCATCCATCCATCCATCCAACCACCCACTCACTCAACCGTGCAACTGCCGCAGGCAGAGCAGTATGCAGCGTCGCGGGGCATGGCGGCGATGGTGGGCGTGCACACGGCCAACGAGCGTGTTGACTTACATATACCCACGTGCCCATGTCCCTTGTGGCCATGTGCCCATCCACCCATCCATCCATCCATCCTCCCATCCACCCAACCATAACCGTTATCAGGCAGAGGAGTACGCTGTATCACGCAGCATGGCAGTGGTGGGTGTGTACGCGGCCAACGAGCACGTGGACGCGCCAGAGCCACACCCCTTGGTGCATGCTGTGCGCACTTAACACCCATTGTGCTTTGCATGTATGCACTCCACTCCTTTGCCCGTGCGTCCCCCTGGCCCAAACCACGGCAGGCTGAAGAGTACGCTGTATCGCGCGGCATGGCTGTGGTGGGCGTGTATGCGGCCAACGAGCGCGTGGACGCACATGCGCCCGCCCACGTGCCCATGCCGCTCAGTAGCTGCTGTGCGCTCAACACCCATTGTGAATGTGCTCCCTCGCCCGTGTGTCCCCCATGTCCCAAACCACGGCAGGCAGAGGAGTACGCCTCATCACGCGGCATGGCCGTGGTGGGCGTGTACACGGCCAACGAGCGCGTGGACGCACCAGAGCTCGCGGCGGGCACCAAGCGCGTGGCGGACTGTGTTGCCAAGCACTGCTCGCCCGCCTGCTGCCTGCTCGTGCGTGCATGGGGAGGGCATGGGGGATGGAATGGGGGGTTGAGTTGAGCTGAGTCGGCATGGGTAATGGCGTGAAGGATCGGATCCCGTGGGTGATGGCGTGGGTGCTGGTTACGGGGTTGAGTTGAGCTGGGCGGGCATCAGAGGTAGTATGTGAGTCGACTCAGAGCTCGTCCCGGGCACCAGACGCGTGGCGGACTGCGTTGGCCAAGCACTGCTCGCCCGCCTGCTGCGTGCTCGTGCGTGCACAGGGAGGCCGTGGGGGATGGCAGGGAGTGGGGGATGGCAGGGAGTGGGGGATGGCAGGGAGTGGGGGATGGCTTGGGTGATGGTTTACAGGGTATAGTAGAGCTGAAGGGATATTAGAGGGAGACGGCGCTGTATCCCTCATCTCTATCCCCGCCCCCTTCCCCTCCCCGCCCACCCTCTTGCCACAACCCCGTGCCTTTCCCTCCTCTCCCCATACACGCTCACCCTCCTGTACCTCTTTCCTTCTTCAGCAATCATCCCGAGCTTCCCCACCCTCTCTCTCCCTGCCTCTCATACTCCCCATCCCTCCCTGTCATTCTGTCTGCCTCCCTGTTTCTCTCCTCGCCTCCCATTCCCCCTGCCAGCTAGACCCCAAGGTGATGCAGCAGCTGCTGGGAACAGGCACGGGTGGGCAAGCAGGAGGGGCGGGGGAATCAGAGTCGAAATCTGCAACACCAGTGGAGGCTCACCAGGCGTTCAAGGTACAGTCAGTCTGTTAGCCAGTCCGTTGGCCAGTCAGTTAATCAGTCAGTTGGTCAGTCAGTTAATCAGTCAGTTGGTCAGTCAGTTGGTCAGTCAGTTAATGAATCAGTTGGTCAGTCCGTTGGTCAGTCAGTTGGTCAGTCAGTTAATCAGTCAGTTGGCCAGTCAGTTAATCAGTCAGTTGGTCAGTCAGTTAATCAGTCAGTTGGTCAGTCAGTTAATCAGTCAGTTGGTCAGTCAGTTAATCAGTCAGTTGGTCAGTCAGTCAATCAGTCAGTTGGTCAGTCAGTTAATCAGTCAGTTGGTCAGTCAGTTAAAATGCCTCGTGAATCCGCAGCACTAGTTGAGGGAGGCTCACTCAATCACCACGCGTTCAAGTACTGTCATTTAGTGAGTGGCCACTCGCCGCTCAGGGTGGGTAACTTTGATGCACGCGCGTTCAAGCCACAGTGTGATTGAGGCGTTTCCAGACAGGACCCCACTCGTTAATCCCCGTACTTCACCCCTTGAAGCAAACCACCTACTTCTCCCTTTCTCCCCTCCCCCTCTCTCCCGTGCCCTCTTTCTCAACCCCCTTTCTCATCTGCGGATCCTGGTTCTCCCCCTTCCCCCCTGTTTGAGTCGACTAAAAATGGTTTTCCCCCTTCCCCCCTGTTTGAGTCGACTAAAAATGGTTTTCCCCCTTCCCCCCTGTCCTCGTCACTGCCAGCTGTACACGTGTGATTCAGCCCGTGTGTGGCGCTTTCAAAAGCCGGCTGTAGCAGGGGGGAGCACGAGCGCAGCAACGATGCGCGTTCGGCCGGCGACAGTGGCCGGCATTCTTCGGAGCTATTTGGAGGAGGGACGGCAGTGGCGACTATGCGATTTTGAGGAGCACCTGGATGACGTGTCAAGGTATGTGTGGCTGCTTGCTTGATTGTTTGTCTGTTATGTATTTCTTAATGTCTGGTTGTGTGTATGTGTGTATGTTTGTTTGTCTGTCTGTCCTGTACATCTGTGTGTGTCGTATGAATGTTCTGGCTGTTGTCAGGACGCACCTCTCAAAAGTTGGTTCTTGGTAATGGTGTGTTGTGCAAGCACTACGGTTGCTCAGGGCAAAGTAGATCCCTGAATTCGGAAGAGATCCGTTCAGGCTGGAACGGATACGTGTAGATTTGGTTCCTAGTGGGACGGTTTGTGGTCCAGAAAAGGCTGATAGGTACTGGGTGTTTAACTTGGGTTGTATCCGAGCTCTTACTCTACCATGGGCTGTGCATTTCTTTGGATTGCAGGGATTGGCGGAATATTGAAGTAATGGAGTGAGAGACACTGCTGGGTGGGTGCAGTGATTTTCTGCAGATGGACTTAGCATCATCACAAATTACAGATTCTGGGCTCCTGTAATGTGAGGTTACTTTTTTCCTGGATGTATTTCATGATTTAGAAATCTATGCCAAATTTCCTTCATATGTATCTAAATTTCAAGCCACCCTAGCTATGCCTAGTGGTATGATAACTGCTGCCGCTGGAGCATAATACATTAATGAGGAAGTGATATTGATTCAGGGTCTGCAAAAACATAGTTGAACGCTTAGTTTATCAATCGGCCTGCAATTGACACTCGGTATGTTATCGGTGCACCGCTTTGACGTACTGAGGTGTAGCCGACATTTCTGCGTAAGCTTCATCCACCAGGGGCAAACATCCTCCTTTTCCTCCTTTCGACAACCACACCACCACCCCCCTCGTTCCCCTCGCTGTCTCGCCGCAGCGCCATCGCGGAGCCGCGATCTTTCAGGGTAGCAGGGTCGCGATCGTTACTGCTGCGGCAGCGCAAGGTGCGCAAGGTGCTGCTGTCTCAGTGCTCCCTCGATCCACGTACACGCCGACTTTTGGGACCACCGCGTCTGCCGTTTCGGCCTGCGCGTCTGACAGCATTACTCTCAGCTTGAGCGACCTTTGAAGAGATTTCAAAAGCGATTCAGTGAGGGAATCAGGGCAGTGGCAGCGATTCATCGCGGCTAGAGCAGTAGCGGTGGGTGAAGCATCGAGGAGGGGGAGCAACGGCGGCAGAACCAACAGCGACGGAAGCACTACTAGCAGCGAGGATCAGTGCTGTCCGAACTCTCTGTGGCCTCTCTCTCCGTTAATCCCAACGCAGCAGCTATGTCAGGCGCAACCGCCGCTCCTTCGCGGGTGTTCTCCTATATATTCAGCGGGAAGAGATCGTACGGTTTTCTCTGCCTCCTCTCCGTCCAGCCGCAAGCCGCACTGCTTTTCCTCTCACTTCCAGGATGTCGTATCCTCATATTGCAATCATTTTCCTCATCTAGCAATCGTTTTCCTCTTATCTTCCTTGTGAAAACTTGTGAAACCTCATCCTACTCCTCGGGTCCTTTCAGTTCCACCTTGCTTTACCTTCCTGCAGTGTGCATAAGAACTTCTTTCTTCTCCCCACCCCCCATTTCCCCCCCATCTCCCGACCCGCACATACCCTCGCAACCCCTTGTCAGGCTTTCTGTATATTCCCTCTCCACCCCCCTCCCACTCTCCTCTCTCCGACCCAACCCCACTTCGCCTCTTACCCCTCCCCCCCTTCCTCGGTGCCATGCATCTGTCTCCTGTGTGTGCACGGGCCATTGCAGGCATGTGTTTGGCGGACTGTTCGCCATAGGCCTGCTGTCCTATGTTCCTTGGTACTACATGACAGCAGGTATGGGAGAATATGGTAATACAAGTGTATTAGTGGCACATTCTGGTATGCATTTGCACGTCTTCACATGCAGGCTCTCACGTGCACACATTCAGGTGCTCAACAATTGTACTTGACTCCTTTTTTCTCTCCCATGCCTTTCCCCCTCCCCGTCCGGCCCCCCATTCCCCCCCTCCCTCTTCACCCCGCACCCCCACACCTAAACAACACTTACCCCTTCTTTGCTTCCCTGTCTCACGATGTATGCATGCCTTCCCTCTCTACCACTGATACCAATATCCTCACCCAGCCACGCATCCCTGCCCTTCTTCTGCCTCTTCTTCTTCCGCAGCACATCAGAAGACACCCTGCAGATAAATGAACCTGTCACGTGCCACCTGTCACCTGTCACTCCCACTCCCACTCCCACTCCGACTCCGACTCCCACTCCCACTCCCACTCCCACTCCCACTCCCACTCCCACTCCGACTCCCACTCCCACTCCCGCTCCCAATGAGCAGGCAAGAAGCAGCTGTCGCATTCAGACTACATGGCCATGCAGGAGAAGGAGAGGATGAGGAAGCAGCGCTTCTCCACTGCTCCTGTCCACGACGACACTCCTGCTGCTGCACCGTCCCAGGCCTCGTCTCAATAGAGATAGAGATGTTTTCAACTTTTGAGACGTCTCAAAACACGACGACACTCCTGCTGCTGCACCGTCCCAGGCCTCGTCCCAATAGAGATGGTTTGAACCATCGCTTTGCTGCAAGTTGCAGCAGGCTAGAAAGCTCAGCAGAGAGTAGGCAACACATTCCGGTGCTGTTCCTGTGTGTGAGAGTGGTCGTTGCTTGTCCTTGACATACAGTCCTTCAGCCCAACCATTTCAAGGAAATCCTATGCCTGGAGGGAGTTGCTATTCATCATGTTCTTCTTCGTCTAGGGACCATTTGTTTCCTAATACAGTAGTCTGCACTGCAGCACTAAAACTGATTATAGGAAGGCATGTGCTGAACCATCCGGCCTTGCCCCTCAGCAGGTATGCCAAGGCAACAAAACTCGCTTCATAACGATCATAACTACCCACATATTGTTTGTAGCTTACAAAGAGAATTGCCAGGAACAAACTCTCAGGTTGTGGCAAATTCAAGAGTGCATGTAGTCGCATCGGGGGCATCGCACAGCAGCACATACGTGTACCACACCGCTCCAGTTCTGGACCCATCCATCATCCTTGCTCAGCAGATGCCATGCCACACCATGGCATGGCCGGTGGCCACTCCACACACAAGAGCGGCAGCTGCAGTAGGGAGTAAAGGCGCCGTGCCACATCCCCCGCTCTCACCCCTCTGCCCACACTACCAGCCGCTCTCCATCCTGCTGGCCCTCCAGCCCTCCTCGCCGTCTCCCTTCGCCTCCCTACAGCCACTCTTGCCCCCGGCCACATGGCCTCCCAATCACCACATGGCCTCCCAATCACCACATGGCCTCCCAATCACCACATGGCCTCCCAATCACCACATGGCCTCCCAATCACCACATGGCCTCCCAATCACCACATGGCCTCCCAATCACCACATGGCCTCCCAATCACCACATGGCCTCCCAATCACCACATGGCCTCCCAATCACCACATGGCCTCCCAATCACCACATGGCCTCCCAATCACCACTTGACTTGCACCATGCCCATGCCACGTACCCTTCACCTTCCACTGAACCCCAAACAGGGTTTCAGCCCCCTTCCCTTCCACTCGACCATCAAAGGAGTCTAAGCCCCTTTTATTTATAAATGTACCACCGAAGAGGATTCCGCCCCTTCGCTGTCACTCATCCACCCATGGGGTTTCAACCTGCTTTCCTCAAACCCACAGATGCATCATCCCTCATCCTTCTCACTCATCCAGGGGTTACAGACCCTTTCCCTCTCACTCACCCACCTAAGGAGATTCAGCCCCCCTATCCTTAACGCAATCACCCAATGGAAATTCACCCCCTTGCGAAGAGAGAGGGGAAGATGGGAAGAGAGAGGGTAAGATGGGGGGAGAGAGGGTAAGATCGGGGGAGAGAGGGTAAAATGGGAAGAGAGAGGGGAAGATGGGCGGAGAGAGGGTAAGATGGGAAGAGAGAGGGGAAGATGGGGGGAGAGAGGGTACGGTGGGAAGAGATTGGGGACGAGAGAGGGTAAGATGGGAAGAGAGAGGGGAAGATGGGAAGAGAGAGGGTAAGATGAGGGGAGGGCGGTGAAAATGAGGGGAGGGCGGTGAAAATGAGGGGAGGGCGGTGAAAATGAGGGGAGGGCGGGGAAGCTGAGAAACGAGTGACGTTGGTAGGTTGGGATATGGGGGGGAAAAGGGAGCGAAAAGGAACACACACACCTGACTCGCCACGCACCTTAGAAATGGTGGTCGACGCGGGCACTCCTGCTCTGCTCTCAGCCTCGGGAAAAGGAAATTGCGACGATAAGGCGGAAGGGAGGGAGGGGGAGGGGGGGGGGGAAGGGAAAACAAGGGGAAAGTGGTCGCCACTCCGTGTTACCTTTCGCCACTCCGTGTTACCTTTCGCAACTCCTTGTTACCTTTCGCAACTCCTTGTTACCTTTCGCCACTCCTTTCCGTCGTCAAATAAAGGCATTCGCCCGTCCATCCCCCTCTTCTCCCCTCAAATAGGCTTTCACCTGCCGTCCTAATTTTTACCGTCTGCGTCCAGGCTCGCGCCGACGCTCTCCAAGTCGACGAAACCCCCCGTTTCATCGACGGTACGCGCTACGTTACCGATGCGTCCGCAAGCGACGCCAGTCATTTGTCCGGACGAACGTTACTATTTCCGTCGGCAATCCGCAAGTTAAGAAAATGTCAGATCTGGAGCACGCAACTTACTGCTCTGTCTAATTTCAGAGCTGACCCTGCTCTGTCTAACGTCAGTGACATCTGCTACGATTCTGAAATCGGTGCTGCAATTACATCGACTACCGCGATGAGATCTCTCCCAACAAGATGAGCGGCGAAACTACTGGTGAATGCAGATTAGGTGAGGCAATGTTAGTAACACCCTCGCTATTGCATCTGTACTGGTTAGGAACGGGTGAGAGGCGTGGCAGGTCCGGAGATACCAGGTTCGGTTTGTTGATAACGCCGTGGTGGAAGTGCCAGGGTGGCGAAAAGACCCACCACTCCGATTGGTTCGCACAGATTTAGTCTCATCCACCCATTGTTTTTCCAGATGCCCGAATACGGTTCAATAGCACAAAAGTGAGTCAGCTGAACTTTTTTGCTCCTCCACGCACGATTCCCACAACCAAACCAAAGCCGTCTCGCACATCACGCCGAACTAAATAAACTCATCAACCAACTAGCGCCACGTCAACCACCACCCAGAAAGCACGAGCGCGCCCCAGCACACCAGTAGGTCCAACCAACCCCCACCATAGAAAATACGCGCCCATAGCAAAATCGTTTGCAAATACAGAAAAACACAACCGATACACATATTTTGACCCAACTTTGTGTACAGTACCATGAATGTACAAATTGGGTTGGCTGGATGGATAAGACAGTAACATATTTCGTTCCAATCGCCTCAACATCTTCGCCACGCGCTCTCGGGGACTGTCCCCTGCCGCTAGTCGGCAGGGCATTTCATTGGCCAATGGTGAAAGCCACCATCAGATGTGATCTCATGCCACAAACAGATGTAATCGTCACCGTTGACGACCGCTACACCACCACCATCAACCCATTCGAAACACACTCGGCTTTTTGCCGCACCGCGCAGCCAGCCGTGTCAGTGATTCCCTCTCACCCGAGGAGTACAATAATGTCGATCCCTTCTCACCGCACTGCACCAAGGAAAATGCTTCAGCTTTCTTCTACTCATACTACATTGACCCATCACATTTGGGTTGATGCCGCCGTAGGACGCACCATGGCGGCTGAATTGCTGATTTGAATTCAGTCTCATCCATTCATCAGCAGCAGCCTCGTCTTCCTTCTGTTGCAGGTTCTACCTTTTGCTATCTTTCTGAGCATGACTATCCAAGTTGTGTCAATGTCGTCCATTTTCATCCTTCTCAACTCAAACTGACGGAAGGATTCTCCAGAGAGCTCCAACCCAATGAGCTTAGACTTCAGGCTAGAAGCTCCCCGGAGCAAGCAAATCTAGTTGAAGTCACCTAGTTGGCACACGGTGAAGCCCGAGGCACAGCAGCGTTGAGTTAGAGGTCGGGTGGGTAGATTAGAGGTCGGGTGGGTGGGTGGGTAGATTAGAGTCCGTGAGAGAGTGAGCTGCTAAGTGTCAAAGGCCAAACCGTGTGCTACTAGGAATCATCGCGGCAACCTTTTCACCGCGAATATTTCATAATCTCCTACGCAAGATCTGGATGGCGAGCTTCTTCTGCAAGATCTTTGTAACCCAAGCAAAGCGGGACGCACTCAAGCCAACGTGAAGCCGATTGGTCCAGAACCAACTCAAGATTTGGCTCTCGCCGTCTCATTGCCGTTGGCGCTTCAAGCATGAAAGCCGTGAGGACTCGAACGTCGCGGACCTGAAAGGCCGGACTTGCAAACTGCCGTCGCGGATGGATCCGTCTCGGCGACCGTCTCGGCGATCGTCTTGGCGACTTGAAAGCAACGCAAGCGACAACGCAGCAGCGATCGCCGACGCTTCAGGTGTTTCATGGTACCCCCGTGGCGCCTCCCCTGCTGGTGCAGCCTCTCTTGTCTCCGGTGGAGTGGAGGTAAGTGCTGTTGCCGTTTCATAAAATCGTTTTAACAATCGCGCGTCGTTTGCTTCTCACGTGCTTATAAAGTTTCTAACTCAATTCACGTTTTCTACTGCAGACGAGCATCTTGCCGTTTATGGGAGCATCTTCTCTCGCGGGAGGCGCAGCAAGTCAAGCTTTTCTCTTGACGAGCCGCCAAGATTCTTCCACGGCGAGCCGCCATACGAAAGCCACACGAAAGCGACGATGCAGTAACGCTCGCGGCTTGTCATCGCAGTCGTCGCCGAGATGTGCTCGCCGGTGGCGCGGCGACATTCGCGGAGATCCGCCAAGAGGGTCGAGAGGAGGTATGTGTTTATCAACTTATTCCTGCAACCGTCCTTTTATTCGTTTTCCAAACCGTCCTTAGATCTGTTTTTGAGAAAGTTTCTAACTTGATCCACTTTCTTTCTGCAGATGATCATCATGGGACGACTCTTCATGGGAACGATGTTCCTCCTTTATGAGTGAAGATGGCTTCAAGCTCGTCGCGGCGCCTCCCCTGCCACGTCGCGTCGCCAATACAAATCTTCACCGACGCAGTGGAGGTAAGCGCGTCGTTTTCACAATCGCGCGTCGTTTTAGCAAGACTCTTTCTGCAATCGTTTTTTGGGTAACAAGCTGACTAACCTGTTGCCGTCTCCTGCAGGCCTTTTAACGACGATTGACTACCGCCTTGGCCGTTACAAGCAAGAAGAAAAGCCGTCAATGAAGATCCCGTGAGGTCCTTCTCCTTCTCGCCGCCATCAATGAACATGGCTTCAAGCTCGTCGCGGCGCCTCCCCTGCCACGTCGCGTCGCCAATACAAATCTTCACCGAACGCTTCGACAGTTTTGCTCAAACCCGCGGAGTCGCGGTTTGTTTTATTTTCGCCACGTGGCAAGCCTTCGATCTCGGGAACCGCGATCTGCTTTATTGTTCCCACAAAATTCAAGAGAATCTAGTTAGACTTTGTGGATCACATGCCCTGCCCGGCAGTACATGTGATCCACTAAGTCTAACAAGTTCTCTCTAAAAATTTGTGGTAACAATTAAACAAATCGCGGCTCCTGCGATCATAGGCGTGCCACGTGGCAAATATATAACAAACCGCGATTCCGCAGGTTTGAGCAAAACTTTCGAACGCTTCTCTTGGAGAGCCGCCAAGTTTCTTCCACGGCGAGCCTCCTTGGCCACACGACAGTGACGATGCAGTAACGCTCGCGGCTTGTCATCGCAGTCGTCGCCGAGATGTGCTCGCCGGTGGCGCGGCGACATTCGCGGAGATCCGCCAAGAAGGTCGAGAGGAGGTATGTGTTTATCAACTTCTTCATGCAACCGTCCTTTTATTTGTTTTCTAAACCGTCCTTAGATCTGTTTTTGAGAAGGTTTCTAACTCGTTTCACGTTTTTTCCTGCAGACGAGCGTCTTGCCGTTTATGGGAGCGTCTCGCTGGAGGCGTTCAGAGAGCAAGTCAATCGCCTCTCTTAGCGCCAAGATTCTTCCACGGCGAGCCGCCTTACTCGAAAGCGGCGACGCAGTCACGCTCGCGGCTTGTCAAAACTCATCGCGGCGCCTCCCCTGCCCCCTCGCGCCAAGTCTTCACTGACGCATTGGAGGTAAGCGCGTCGTTTTAACAATCGCGCGTCGTTTCTGCAACATCGTTTTACCAAGACTCCTTGCAATCGCTTTTTGGGAAACAAGCTGACTATCCTGTTGCCGTCTCCTGCAGGTCTTTTAACGACGATTGACCACCGCCTTGGCGAGACGCGAATACTTCAGCGAGACGCACGGGAAGCACGGCGACGCACGGAGTGACGTATGGCGACGCACGGGGAGGCGCTACACAACCGCGCTTCGAGACTCGCGGAGATGCGGAAAAGCATGCGTACGAATGTCTCCTTGACGAGACGCGAATACTCAGCGCGTTTCAGCGAATTTGCTTTGCTACCAGCAGCACCTCGCTCGAGGTAACATGACCTTCATTCAATCCTCGCTCGTTCTTAGCTTCTCACAGTTATTGACGGCTTCTTGTTTATTCCTGCAGAACCTTACCGTCCGCCAGCGTCGCACGGCGACGCACGGGGAAGCACGGCGACGCACGGAGTGACGGATTGCGACGCACGGGGAGGCGCTACACAGCCGCGCGTGAAAGGCATGCATACGAATGGCGGCGACTGGGGACGCATGCCGACGGATACCGACGGACGCCCGGGCTGAGGTAACTCGTCGCCCTTCAGCAAACTCATTCCTTGTTGCTCCGTCGGTTCGTCTCGTTTCGTTTCCGTTATTGACGGCGGTTTCTTTCTTTCTGCAGAGACGGAGCGTGGCGAAGCGTGGCGACGCTTCCTCGTGTGCGTCTCACGAAAAGCATGATGCGGACGCATGTGACGCATGCGGACGCATGGCAGCAGCGCCTCGCAAGGTAGCTTGTCTAGCAATTAGTTCGTGTTTTGTTTTTTTCTTGAAGGTTTCTTAACGTATCTTCTTCTCTTCCTGCAGAACGGAGTAGCACGGAGACGCACTGCGTACGGCAGCGCACGGCGCACGGCGCACGGCGGAGACGCACGGCGACGCACGCACGGGACATGGCGACGCAAGGGACGGACAGCGTATCCCGCGGGCGGACGGCGCATCCGGGGCGGACGGCGCGTGTAACGGGCGGCCACCGCGTTTAGCGGGCGGATGGCGGCGCTTGGCCGACTCCCTCACATGGTAAGGTGCAGTTCCAGTTTCCATTCGTTTGTTTTCCCGGATTCTTACCTTTTTTTTAGTTGTTTTCTCTCTTAGCGCAGGACCAGAAGAGCGGGAGCGGCGCTGCCGGCAACGGGACTTCAAGCTACGCCGACTCCCTCACATGGTAAGGTGCAGTTCCAGTTTCCATTCGTTTATTTTCCCGGATTCTTACTTTTTTTTCGTTGTTTTCTCTCTTAGCGCAGGACCGAGCGGGAGCGGCGCTGCCGGCAACGGGACCGACTCCCTCACATGGTAAGGTGCAGTTCCAGTTTCCATTAGTTTCTTTTCCCGGATTCTTACTTTCTTTTTTCGTCGTTTTCTCTCTTAGCGCAGGACCAGAAGAGCGGGAGCGGCGCTTCCGGCAACGGGACTTCAAGCTACGCCGACTCCCTCACATGGTAAGGTGCAGTTCCAGTTTCCATTAGTTTATTTTCCCGGATTCTTACTTTTTTTTTTCGTTGTTTTCTCTCTTAGCGCAGGACCAGAAGAGCGGGAGCGGCGCTGTCGGCAACGGGACTTCAAGCTACGTCGACTCCCTCACATGGTAAGGTGCAGTTTCAAATTGCTTTCGTTTCCTTTTCCAGATTCTGACATTTTTCGTTGTGTGCTCTTCTCTCAGCGCAGGACGAGCGGGAACGGGAGTGGGAGCAAACGCCGCTGGCGGCGGCGACAAGGGAGGTCAACGCGGACTCCCTCACGCGCGGGCGACGACGTATCGGGCTGTGGAGCGGGAAGAAGCGGAGCGAGGAGGCGGAGCGAGGAGAGTTTGACTTCCCCCTCCCGTTCCGCCCTGTACTGCAGCTTTGGCGGGAGGAGGAGCAACCAGCGCAAGCGCCAGGCATGTAAGATGTGTTTGGGTGTGGGTGGGTACTGGACGTTTAGGAGCGATAGGCGTTCGATTAGGCACATGGGCGATGGTTTGGGTTGGGTCATCATGGCAACTCCTCCTGACAACCAACGGGAATCGTCCGATCCGAGGTGTGTAACATGACGTTTAGGAGCGCGCGTTCGATTAGGCACAATCACGTGGGCGATGGGATGGGTGGTGGTCAGGTATGCCTCTTTTTGTGACGGCTGGCCGTCATCCTGACAGCACTGACAACTTCCGATCCCACGTGTTAATTCATTCATCTGCCCGTGTTTCTACTGTAGTTTTGACCGTTTGCCCCCCTCCCAAGCAGGTCCCACGCGAATGGCCCCCACCTCATCGTGGTGCGTGGGTGTAACGTCAGGGGCATTTGCCTCTGACGGCCAAGAGGGGTCAAGAAGACTTCGAAGCTGCTGCTGTGGACTTGACGTGCAAGAAGACTTGTTTGGTCAAGAAGAGTCAAGCTGCTGTGCACGCGCAAGTGGATCTGCTCTGCTCACACTCAAGGCTTAGGGAGCTTAGAAGGCTTATTAGCAACAAGTTCCTGTTCTGACTTGTATCTAGTTATTTAATAGAATCGTGCTTGCTTCCAAGTATTGTACTATTAAGAACTCCTCGGTGTCTAGTTATCAAGTATAGATATGGAAAATAAGACGAATGCGCGCGTAGTGCAGTTTGTACCAGCAAAATAAGAGAAACGCGGTTTGCTTGAAGTTCAGAGATACTCGTAGTAATCATCGATGTGGGGGAGAGCTACCTAATCCGCTACCTAACGCGCCGCTTATTGCGCTACCTAGTCATGCGCTACTGCTACTACTTCTGAGGGCCGTCGCGGGGACGGTTTCGTTGAGATCGCACATGGGCTTCGCTGGCGTCGCCGTCGTCGTCGCAGCGGGGCGGCCGTCGCAAGGCAGCGCGTTCGACTGCGACGAGTCGCAGACCGCCATATATTCGACATCGTTCGATCTCTCCTTCCCGCCCTGCCCCGGAACGATCCTCATGGGGATCGAATCCCGTGTGGCAACCAATGGCGATTCGGATTTCCTTGTCCCTCCTCTTCCGGGATCGATGAGTCTACCTCTCACGTATCCGACATTCTTGATTTTTTTTCCAGGGATGCGCGCCTTCTCTCACCTCCTCTCTTCAAGTGCCTCAGCAGTCGTGTATGCGCGCCTTCTCTCACTCGCTATCCAGCTCCCAAATCCAGCGCGCGTCCCTCGTCCCTCCCCCCATGATCGCCTGCTCCCTCCGCTAGCACTAGCGCGCCTGCACCTGGTTCCCCCACTCCTATTCCCCAACGGCCCCCTACTCCCCCTCTCCCCCTCTCCCCCTTCTCCCCCTTTCCCCCTCGTCCCCTCTTCCCCTCTTCCTCTCTTCCCCTTCCCCCCACCTCCCCCCTTTCTTCCGCATCCGCCCCCCAGCCACGGCGCCATCCGCGCGGTACCGCGCAATAGGGAATCTCTGGGAGCAGCTGAGCAAAGCGCGCCTCCACCTATCTCCCCTGTTCCCCCTTTTCCCTCCCTCCCTCGTCATCCCCCGCACGTTTCCCCCCTCCTCCGCCATTTACGGCGCCATCCGCGCCTCCACCTGGCGGAAGCCATGGCTCTCGCGCGCCACTGGGGGCGCACGCTCGTACTGCCTGCCACGTGTCCGCAGCAGCCGCAACGGCGGCAACAGCCTGCCACGTGGCATGCTCCCCGCGTGCGCGTACTTTGCCTCGGTGCTGATGGGGCGGTTCGTGCCGTGGGTGCGCGAGGAGTACCTCTGGCGGACAGTGCTGCCCGCTTGGGTGGGAGGGGCGAGGGGAAGCGAGCTCGGGGGAAGGGGAGGGGGACGCGGGGAAACGGGGAGAAGGAGGAGAAGGGGGAGGAGGCGGAGGAGGGGTAGGAGGGGAGGTGAGGGGTTGGAGCAGCGGAACGGTGGTGCTGGGCACCAATCTGGTGCGCTGCCACTGTGAGACGGTGCTGCGGGGTGCTGCTGGGTGATTTCAGAGGGCAGCGACGCAATCTGGTGCGCTGCCACTGTGAGACGCCGTGGTGGTGCCTCAAAAGTGTCACCTGGTGGAGGGGAGAGGGGCTGTGGGGGAGGGGTTGGAAGGGGGGACGCAGAGCAGAGATGAGTTACTGCGGGTGTAGGGGCGGTGCAAGGAGGGGTGTTGTTTCAACTCCTCTCTCTATTGCCTCGCCTTCTCGCTTCCTCGCCTTCCTCACCCCTGTACTGCACCACGAGCTGTGACGACCGCTTGTGGCTGCGCTGGGTGCCCCCGCGCGCAGAGGACCTGCGCTTGCTGGACACTCCCCCTCCCCTCTCCCCCGCCCCTCTCCCCCTCCCCTCTCCCCCTCCACTGAGTGGTGGGGTAGTGGTGGGAGTGAGTGGTGAGATTCAGGGTTGATGGGTGGTTGTCGATAGGTGTCTGGCTGGGTGGGTGGGGTGTGTGGGTTGATGGGTGGTTGTTGATAGGTGTCTGGCTGGGTGGGTGGGGTGTGTGGGTTGATGGGTGGTTGTCGATAGGTGTCTGGCTGGGTGGGTGGGGTGTGTGGGTTGATGGGTGGTTGTTGATAGGTGTCTGGCTGGGTGGGTGGGGTGTGGGTTGATGGGTGGTTGTTGATAGGTGTCTGGCTGGGTGGGTGGGGTGTGTGGGTTGATGGGTGGTTGTCGATAGGTGTCTGGCTGGGTGGGTGGGGTGTGTGGGTTGATGGGTGGTTGTCGATAGGTGTCTGGCTGGGTGGGTGGGGTGTGTGGGTTGATGGGTGGTTGTTGATAGGTGTCTGGCTGGGTGGGTGGGGTGTGTGGGTTGATGGGTGGTTGTTGATAGGTGTCTGGCTGGGTGGGTGGGGTGTGTGGGTTGATGGGTGGTTGTTGATAGGTGTCTGGCTGGGTGGGTGGGGTGTTTGGGTTGATGGGTGGTTGTTGATAGGTGTCTGGCTGGGTGGGTGGGGTGTGTGGGTTGATGGGTGGTTCAGGATAGGTGGGTGAATGGTTGGCGGTTGGGTGTGTGGGTTGGATGGGTGGTTCTGGGAATAAAGTTGTACATCTAGGGTTGGTGGTTGGAAATTCTGACAGTGGGTGAGGCGAAGGGAATGGGTCTGAAAGCACTATGGTTGGTGAGTGGAAGGTGAATGGAGGCTCATACCCGAGGGTGGGTGAGCGAATGGGCAGGGGGGCTGAAACTTCTAGGGTGGGAGATAGGAAGCGAAGGATGGCTAATTGAAAGGGATGGGGATGACTTCTTTATGGTGGATGAGAGGAATGGAAGGGGGCTGAAACTTCATGAGTGGAAGAGAAGAGGCTGAAACTCCTTTGATGGGTTGGTGGAAGGAAAGGGGGCTGAATCCTCTTGGGTGAGTGGATGAAAGAGAAGGGGACTGAAACTCCTTCAGTAGGTGAGGGGAAGGAAAGGGGGCTGAATCCTCTTGGGTGGTGGGTGAAAGGGAAGGGGGCTGGCTGAGGGTGCGCGAGGGTGCTGAAACCAGTACGGGAGCTACTTCCAGTCTTCTGCTTTGCAGCATGCTTGGCCTTTCGTAAGAGAGCAGGTGCGTAAGTTGGTATGCATGTTGCTAGTACGGAAGGGTCTGGTACAAAGGAATGAAGAGCATCGGTGTATGCAACATATTGTTTCCAAGCCTCTGTTAGCATCAGGTCTGGTGGTACGCACTCGGGTATGTTGCATGCCGTTGTGTGTTTGTGCTGAAGCTGTTGTCTGCAGGCATCCAGGCAGCCTTATGGAATTAAAGTTCTTTCAAGGCCTCCCATGGTACCATGGGACTGACTAGGCCAGAGAACTGTAACAGACCTCAAAGGAATGTGTTATGCAACCGACGAGAATGGGCCTGTAATAAGCAGCTGGCCCAAGTGCGTGACAGCGATGCATTATTCGTCAAAATAGAACGTTATGGGAGAAAAATCCTGCTTGCCATGTGCATCAATAAAAAAATGAATGCTAAGCATCACCGATTTCTTATTACTGCATTATTCATACTTTTCCTGCATTTTGCCATGTCATTGTCCCAAACTTTTTTCGTACTCTGCTCATAACGATAATTTTATTTGCAACAAAATGTAATATGTCATCGCGTTCCATTCCCAGATCATTGATTGGCAGGCAGCAGGGCTCCAGGTTTCACCTGCGTGAGTTGCGGTGTGCTCCGAAACATTTCGCCTGGAAACTGGGTTGGTTTGGGGCAATCTTTTGAGGAATTTCTTGAAGGTGGCGCAAGCAAGAGAGAAGAGGCGCGAGTTTCCTGATTGGCGCATTCCTGCCCTACAGCAGGATTGACACTCCCACACCGCAACGTCGCGGTAGTGCTCAGCTCACCCGTCCCGCTCTGCATTATTTTATCTGGCTGGCGGAGGGTTTGACTGGCGCACCCCTCACCCCCTGCGCCTGCCCTGGATTCTCCTGGCCGTTCCCCTTTCCCAATCTCATCGCGTTCCGACCGAAGCACACTGTTTCGCCTCGCCGTCGTCAATTCCTATGTGCGCCGGCCGACTGTCACCTGAGCTCACTCACACAGGGATCTGTCTGTTCACCTCTCTCTACCGTGTTCTGGCTCCAATACTTTCCTTTCCAGCCAACAAATCTCCCTCCCCTGCAAAGTTGAAGTGTTTGACAGGCACTCCCTTCAGTATGCTGGATAGCGCCTGATGCGGTTACGATTTCCGTAGCATTGTCTTCGCAATCATTTTCGTGCCTCTCGCATCGCGTCACCTTTGCTTAGTAGTATGCTACGTAGATTGCCGTACTGAGGCTCTTGAGGCGAGGAGCCATCACCTTACTACTCATTGTGCATATCCCATTCTTAGCTCAACTTGCGATTTTTTTGCCAGACTGAGAAGTTGAAATGGCTCCATCGCATTCGTTAGAAGCTACTAATGACGGATGGCTGGATTGTATGATAACGGAAATACCGGCAGCGCATAGCAGTCACGATGACCAGGCGGCGTCCTACGGAGCGGCTTCAGCATCTGACAGACACCACGAAGACGAGGTTAGCACAGATGTTTTTAAGATCGTCATTTGACAAGTTTTCTACCACGTTATATTCGTCTTGGTGGCAAAGTTTCGCCTTTTATTGCAAACTCCTTGTTTCTATATGGAACCATTCCCAGTTTTTTTCTCCTGCTCAAAACTTGTGAATTGTGTTATCCATTTGGCTGATATTTTTTTCCCTCATCAGGTTGTTTCGATTAAGACGGTGTCGTGCTGGCATCGCTACCTGCTGGGAGATCTCATCTTTGTCGTCCTCTCCGTGATATCCATCGGCATCATTCCGCTTCTAGCCAGCTGGTTTCCTTCTTTTTACGTCACCCTGCGATTTAAGCGGTACGACGAGACAGTCGCATTGTTACGAATCCCTTGTTAGCTGACGCATTCCTTTGCAGGTTCCTCTATTTTCGCTTTCACGGCGTTATGCGTATACTGGTCTTCGTTTTAGCCGTTTCCGCTGCTATATTTTCTCCCTTAGGGCCTGAATCCCCCTGCAACCGGTTCCCTTAGTGCCCCTTCCGTCATCTCTATCCTCGGTAGCTTGGTTCAACCCGGCAAGATAGGCGCTAATAGCGTTAATCACTAGTGTCTAAAACACGTTGATCGTCCGTCTAATAGGTCGTCCTTTTGTTTAGTCTTCCTCCCCAACCAGCGTCCCCCTCGACGCGCGACCAATGCGGCTGCAGAGTCTCGATGTTATCCGAGCAGTCTTCCTCCTGACTTCGCGCAATTCGATTTAACAGTCTCTTTCGTCATCATCTCTCGACTATATTCTTTACCCCGAGAACCGATCCGTCCGGTGACGTCAACGCGGTCTACGTGCTAGCAGAAATTCTCCGCAGTATCCTGACGTCCGCCTCTCTATTCTCTTCTCGTTTCCTCGCTTCCCCTAGCAGCGTCCCCCCCATCGACGTCAACGCGGACTACGTGCTGGTGGAGAGTCTCGACGGTAATCTGACAAGAGGTGATTTTTGTGTCGACTCAAAAGGCCGCCTCTCTATCCTTCTCGTCTCCTCATTCCATCTGGCAGCGTTCCTCCCGGCGACGTCAACACGGACTACGTCCTGGTGGAGAGTCTCGACGGTATCCTGACAGTCGCCTCTCTATTCCCCTCTCCTTTCCTTGTTTCCCCTACCAGCGTTCCTCCCGGCGACGTCAACACGGACTACGTCCTAGTGGAGAGTCTCGACGGTATTCTGACAGTCGCCTCGCTCGAATCCGTCGACCCCTGGGCCCCGTCCCGTGGGTGGGTGGACGTTGCGACGGCGCGCTCCTGCACGAGGCGTCCGGTAGGCAGGGTATGCAGGTTCGGGGAAAGGTTGCGGGTCTTCGTAATGGAAATTAGGCAGGAGCCGATGCGCTTGTTTTTTTTTATTTACTGACGCATGCGTGGGAGGGGATGCATGTTGATCTACCGGCGTTGCTGTGTGAGCTCCATCTCTTCATTGCGCATATGTTCCCTCCAAATCTCCCTTACACACACGCCGTCTCATGCTCATCGCTATCAGCATTTGCCCATTCCTTGCTTCCCCACCCCCCTACCCCCCACCCCCCATTCCTTGCGCCACACATCCCTTCCCCGCTTTCTCCACAGGGTTGCGAGATCAGCTTCGCCGCCCTTCCTCGAACCTTCCTGTGGCGCAGCGAGCGCTTCTGGTTCGACCCGGCGGCGGCCGCGCGTCTGTTCGACGGCACGCCCAAGTCCGCCACGCGCGCAGCGGAGCTCAGCAGCACGCCGCTGGTGTGGAAGCGGCACCGCTTCCAGCTCGCCTCCACCGCCGCTGCGCTCCACAAGTATGGCGCCGCTTGCGCCATGCAGGAGCCCCGCGGAGCGAGTCATCCAGGAGGTGCGCGCGCGCAGGGGTGGGGGGATAGGGGGAACGGGGGGACGGGATCCGGGAGGGGGTTTAGAGAGGGAGGGTTGCGCGTGGCGGGAGGAGAGAGGGGGGTTGGATGAGGAGGGCGAATGGGGAGGGAAGGAGGGATGGGTACAACAATGGTCGTGCGTAACCCCTGTTTCCGTCTCTCACCCCTCATGCTCATCCATTTTTTCCCCTGACCCTCTTTCCTGTTTCGAACTCATGCTCTGTTCGTCTTCCATCCGTTTTCAAATCCCGCTGTTCCATTTCGATGTATCCCACGCCCTGGTAACATTCCTTCATTTCCGCCTGGCACCATGCCATGCCATGCCATGCCTTTTCATTCCCGTCCATCCCATGCCATGCTGTGTAGCAGACGTGAGTGACTGGGAGCGACGGCTCCTCACCCACGGCCCGAACATCCTGCATGTGCATGCACCCAGCTTCTGGTGCGTGTGCTGTGCTGTGCTGTGCTGTGCTGTGCTGTGCGGTGTGCGAAGTGCCGTGTGATGCGCACAGTGTGCAGCGCGCTGTGCACTGTGCGGCAGACACTGCTGGGTACTTGCTTGTAGGAAGGTGATTCGTTATGTCTCCTTCCGCCCCGTGTTTTTCTCTCCTCTTACGACTCCCATATCATCACCCCCACCCCCCACACTCCTCTCCCTCTCCAACCTTTCCACCCACGCCATGTTCCTGAACCCTACCCAGACTTTATCCCGCAAAATCTCTCTGCTTCAACCTTCCTCCCCTGTGTCTGCGACCTCACACACGCCTCTCATGCCCCCCTCCCTGCTGCTCGTCCGTGCAGGGTACTGCTGTTAGGGGAGGTGCTGAAGCCGTTTTTCGTCTTCCAGGTGTTCAGTGTGATCGTTTGGTTCCAGATCAACTACTACCTCTACTCCTGCGTCATCATCTTCCTCACTACCACCTCAGTCGTATACGAGGCCGCTCAGACCCGCCGCAACAGGCTCGCCATCAAGTAAGCTGCCTGACTTAGCCCCTTCCTCATCTCCTCTCCTCTCCTCTTCCATCCCTTCCGTCACCCTCCCTCACTCCCTATTCTTCGCCCTTTCCTCGCACTCTCCATGCCACTGTGTCTCCTCCCGACCACCTCTCCCATCCTTCCGAAGCCCCCTTCCCCCCACTCCCCCACACGCCCCCCTCACCATCCTCTGCTGTCTGTCCCCACTGCTGTCTTCCCTCTGCCCAGGCGGCTAGCAGAGACGGACTGCTCTGTGGTGCGCCTGACCGCCCGCCGTGAGTCCGCCGACCCTTCTGCTGCGCCAAGGCTGCAGCCAGAGCAGGTTCTAGCCAGCGCTCTTCTGCCAGGCGATCTCGTGCAGGTGAGAGGCCCTGAAGGGGGGAGAGAGAGAGAGAGTGCGGCAGGCAGGGCTGAGCGGAGAGAACGGAGAAGAGGGATGGGTGGAAGAGAAGGGTGGGGGTATACTTGCGCACGTGCCAGGGTTAACGTGCATGTACGTCATGCATGCATGTGTATTGCCCTCTCTCTCCGTGCCCGTCTCTCCATCATTCCTCCCCACAAACACCAGCTCACTGGCTGTTTCTCTCCCGCCGTCCGTCTGTTTCCAGGTGGAGGCAGGCATGGTGCTGCCATGCGATCTGGTGCTGTTGGCTGGCCAGTGCGTGCTCAACGAGTCCATGCTCACTGGCGAATCCGCTCCTGTGCTCAAGACTGCTCTTCCTCTTGACTTCTCTCTTGCCGCCCTTGTGTTTCCCCCAGGTGGAGGCAGGCATGGTGCTGCCATGCGATCTGGTGCTGCTGGCGGGCCAGTGCGTGCTCAATGAGTCCATGCTCACTGGCGAATCCGCTCCTGTGCTCAAGACAGCCCTCCCTCTCGACTTCTCTGCACAAGCGCAGAGGTAGGCAGGGGAAAGGGGGCACGGAAGGCTTCATACTGGAAATGGGAGGGAGGGGAGGGGAGGGGAGGGGAGGGGAGGGGAGGGGAGGGAAGGGGAGGGGAGGGGAGGGGAGGGGAGGGGGAGGGGGAGGGGAGGGGGAGGGGGAGGGGAGGGGGAGGGGAGGGGAGGGGAGGGGGAGGGGAGGGGAGGGGAGGGGAGGGGAGGGGAGGGGAGGGGAGGGGAGGGGGAGGGGAGGGGAGGGGAGGGGAGGGGAGGGGATTGGTGAGGAGGGAGGGGGAGGGGGAGGGGATTGGTGAGGAGGGAGGGGATTGGTGAGGAGGGAGGGGAAGGGAGGGGAAGGGAGGGGAGGGGGCGGGACGGAAGGGTTGGGATGTCCTGAGCTTACTTGAAAATGTGATTGGGATCGGTTTTATATGCGATTGATGCAAAGTCTCCCTTGGGCTTGTCTCCTGCAATGTCCTTGCTGTCTGTTTCTCTGCTTGCTTGCCATCCTTACCTACCTGTCTGCCTGTCTGCCTGCTCGTCTGCCTGTTTCTCCCCCCATTCCCCCTGCAGCCTCCGGCCAGGGTCAGAGGCTGACTCCAAGTACCGTCTGCTCTCAGGCACAGAGGTGCTGCAGACCAGGGCGCTCAGGGTACCGCCCACCCCTCCGCCCACCTGGCCCTCCTCGTCTTCTAGCGGGGAGGCCCCTCCTTGTGTGTGGAACTTCGCCAATGCGAGCCAAGGACAGGTGGGTTCTCACACCTTGTTGGGGGCGTTCTCCTTGTGTTTCCTTGTGTTAACCGCCATGCCTCCCTCCCCTCGCAGACCATCAATCTCCTTTCCCAGGTTTCGAAGCTTCCGCCGCTATGGTCGCTCACACCCTTTCAACCCCTCACGCTCCATCCGTGTTGCTGTTTTCCCAGTTTCTATCATCTTAATCACCCCCTCCTACCACTCTCTGGTCTGGTTGCCCTTATCCCCCCCAGCCCATGCCTGTGACAGCTATGGTGGTGGGCACGGGGTATGCGACTTCCAAGGGCGAGCTGGTCCGCGCCATCATCTACCCGAAGCCCACGTCGTTTGACTTTGAGCGCAAGCTGTACCTGTTCATTGTGAACCTCTTTGTCTTCTTCCTCATTGCCGCCATCATCACCGTTATCTACCAGTACAACAAGGTGCGTGCGTTTGAGTGAGTGAGTGGGCGGGTGTGCGAGCGAGTGGCCTTTGGATCGACTCAAAAATCACCTCTGTGTCTTCTTCCTCATTGCTGCCATCATCACCGTTATCTACCAGTACGACAAGGTGCGTTCAGGCGTTGGTGCATGGTTACAAATAAATACCAGGCATCGTGTGTGAGTATTGCATGGCTCCTTCCCATGCCCTCGCATCATCCGTTTTACATCGCCTCCAAACACCTCCTCCATCGCTTTTCAATCCCAGCCACCTCTCCTCCACACCCTCCTCCCCTTCTCTTACCCGCCTTTCCCTACCCCCAATCTCTCTACGCGTCCCTTTGCTTATCCTCACAGGTGAGCACCAGGCAGCTGGTGCTGAGCGTGCTAAACATCCTCACTATCACTGTGCCGCCTGCTCTCCCTCTCGCACTCTCCATCGGCCTCACCACGGCCTTCTCTCGCCTCCAAGCCTGTGGCATCTTCTGCATCAAGTATGCACCACCGCCCTTGCACGTTTCCTCATTCCGTCTTCCCTCTCTCCTTCCAGTTTCACTCTCCATTCCTTCTTCTTTTTCTTCTTCTGTCTCCGTATCCGTGCTTTCCCCTGCCCTGGCATCATTCTCCCTGTTCTGTGTTTTTTAATCCCTCTGCTTTTGTCCTTTTCCCTGTCTCACCCTGTCTCTATCGCCTCTATTCTTGCCCATCCCTTTCCCATGCAGCCCGCCTCGCATCATCAACGCGGGACGTGTCAACCTCCTCTGCTTCGACAAAACAGGCACTCTCACACGCGACGGTCTCACTATCTCTGGAGCCATACCGGTCTCCTCCTCCTCCCCTTCCGCCTCCTCCCCCACCTTCTCCTCTCTCCACTCCAACCTCCTGGAGCTTTACCACGAGGCCGTGAAGCCCACTGCTGCATCACCCCAACCTGCCTCAACCGCATCGACTCCCACTGCATCCCTCTGTTACACCCTAGCTGCCTGCCACAGCCTGTCATTGCTCCACGGTCCTGCCCCCTCCCGCTCAGATTCCTCCTCGTCTGCTTCTGATGCGTTTCCCGAGATGGAAGTGCATGCAGAGCGGACCGGGGGAGATGGCTTCTGGAGTAGGCTGATGCGTGGGGAGTGGGGGTACGATGGGGTGAAACGGGGCAGCAGGAGCAGCAGTGGTAGTGTCGGTGACGGGGGCACTCAGGGGTCGAGGCTGCATGCAGGGCCGAGGAGTGATGAGCAGGAGCAGTGGGGTGGTGGGGTGGGAGCGTCTGAGGTGGAGGAGGGGGAGGCTGGGGGGAGTGAGGAGAGTGCTGTTGTGCACATGAAGGACGGCTCCGTTTGTCTGTTTGTGGGCGACCCACTCGAAATACAGATGTTCAGGCGCAGTGGTAAGGGTTATGAAGGGTGGCTGGGGAGTGGGAGGGAACACTAGGGGGGATGGAGTATGTTGGGGGTCAGGAATGATAGGGCTTGCTTTTGGTTGCGTTAGGTGTCTGCTTTGTTGGGCTTATTGTGTCTGGATGCATTTGCTCCTGCATTCTATTCTAGGACACCAGACCCAGCAATTCTCCCTCCCACCTCTCTCTCCTCGCCTCTTTCCCTCCCCTCCCTCCCCTCCCTCCCCTCCCTCCCCTCCCTCCCCTCCCTCCCCTCCCTCCCCCTTCCCTCACCCTCGTCCCTTGCAAATCCCAGGCTGGCAGTTCCTCCCTCGCCCTGAGTCTGACCACCACGACACCACCAACCCCAGCAGCAGCGCCCCACCGCCCACGAACGCCTGGGACATCAACACCATCTGGTCCCACCCAGACCTCCCCCACTCCGTCGACCTCCTCCTCCTCCCTCCTTCCCCCTCTGACCCCTCCGCGGCCCATCCCGCGCACCATCTCCTCCCCCCCGTGGCCTCTGCCTCGTCCTTTGTGTTCTCCTCCCAGCCGGCGCTGGCTGTGCTGCGGCGCTTCGACTTTGACTCGGACCTCAGGCGCATGGCAGTGGCAGTGCTGCATGTGCACCCTGGTGTTGTGAGGAGCGCGGGTTGTGAGGGTGCTGCTGCTCCGCCCATGTCTCTGCTTGTAAAGGGTGCTCCTGAAAGGTGTGGTGCTGCTTTGGATATAACGTGTGATGTGTCCATGCAACTGAAGATGGGAGTGTGGGTGGGAGTGGTGGGAGTGGGTGGCGTGCAGCTGTGTTTGCGTTGTTGTGTGCTTGTTTATCTTTTATACGCTGTGCTGTGCTGCTGTCGTCTCCTTTCCCCTCTCCCATCGCATCTGCTTCCTCAACACGCATGCACCTCTTCCGCCCCTCCTCCTAGCTCTCTCCACTGATGCTTCTATCTCACACCCCCGCCCCCCTGTGCTTTCAACTGGACCCTCCTTTGACCCCGTCAACCTCAATACATCCTTCTTGCCACCACCCTTCTCCTACCCCCCCAACACCCCCACCCCCTCGCCCTCCCCCAACTCCAACCCCCACACCCCCTACTCTACTTCCAACCAACCAACTCTCTGCGAACCGTCCCTGTTGCATTGCCTGTCCCTGCGAATCGCGTGCATGTGGCCTGTGGCATGGCAGCATTCGCCCCCTGTGCGCGCCTGCATCGCTCCCGCGTGACTTTGAGGCGCAGCTCAAGGCGCTCACACTCGGTGGCAGCAGAGTGCTGGCCGTGGCCTCACGATCGCTCTCCCACCTCACTCTGCAGCAGGTAAGAGAGAGCTCAGTATCCTTGCTTTGTTCTGTTCTGAAGCCGTGCCAGTAGGAATCCCCCCTTCTCTGAACATCTCCCCTCCCTTCCCCTTCTTCCCTTTGCCTTCTTCCCCTTCTTGCCCCTGTTCCCCCTCTTCACCACTTTCTCCTCCACCCCCCTTTCCCCTTGCCCATGCAGGTGGCAGAGACGAGTCGTGCAGACGTGGAGAGGGAGCTGGTGTTTAGTGGGTTCCTGGTACTAGAGAACCCCATCAAACCCAATACTCTCCCTGGCCTTCGCTCTTTCCTCACCTTCCCTTGTGCTCACATGTACCATGCAGGTGGCAGAGGCGAGCCGGGCAGACATGGAGAAGGAGCTGGTATTCTGTGGGTTCCTGGTGCTAGAGAACCCCATCAAGCCCGAAACCACACCTGTGCTGCACTGCCTAGCTGCTGCTGGGCTCAGATGTCTCATGGTCACCGGAGATAACCCCCTCACTGCCCTCGCTGTCAGCCGGTACCCATTCCAATTCCCACTCCCACTCCCCTCCCACTCTCCCACTTCTTTGCACTCTTGCTCTCGCTCGCACGCTCACTCTCGCCATCGCGTCACTCGCACCCTCGCACTCCTCATTCCCTGAATGCCCCTGTGCTCCCTAACGGTTGCATGTGCTGAGTCTTCCCCTTTTTCCCACACCTCCCCGCTCTTCCCCGCCAAATTCCCTCTCGTTCCGCCTTTGATAGTGGTCCCTATCGTTTCCCCTTGCATGTCCTAGCTCATTTTCTACTGTCCCGATATTCCTTCAAGCTCCCACACTAATTTCTCTCCCCTTCCACTTGTCACTGCAGCCATGCCCCCCGCTCATTGAACAGCAAACACCTCCCCTGTCTCGTCCTCATCTCTCCCATGTCTTCTTCTCTCTCTCTTTCTCTTTCTCTCTCTCTCCCTCTCTCCTCCCGGCAGCCACTGTGGTCCGTACCTCCTACACACCACACGCCACCCCTATCTCATCGACACAGCCGACGACGCGCAGTCAAGTGGCACGGGCTGTGTGATACAAGACGTGGTGACACACCGCAGTGTGCCTCTGGACGATGTGCTTATAGCGGGGCCTTCCGGTGCCGCCTCTGTGCTGCAAAAGGGCTCTTCAGACGGGTCTATGGCTGCTCCTCAGGTGCGGGCGGGCCAAGCCAGTGCTGTTAGTTTCATTGTGACCTAGGCGCGTTTGAGTTGTATGATGTATCATACCGCACTGATTGTCCACCGTCCGATCCAATGCTCCCATGTTTCAATCCATACCACCACATTACCACGAAAGCATGTCGATTGTATCCTGCATGGCCATACCCATATTCTCTTCCATTCATCCTTCCCACCCTTTCCCAGCTGGACGCGTCACTCAGAGGAGCAGACCTCGTGGTGACAGGCCGAGCGTTCGCAGCACTTAAAGCCCACCACGACCGACTCGCCTCGCTCCACAAGCCCCCCCGCCGATCCTCCTCCCCTTTCTCCTCCTCCCCGGCCCCCTCCTCCTCCTCAACCGCCCTTGTGCTCGCCCCTGCCTCGGCTGCTATCACGCCCTTTGAAGCGGTGCTGTCCCGGGCAGGGGTGTTTGCTCGCATGTCCCCCAGCAACAAGCAGGACCTCATGCTTGCTCTCCGGGACCTGGGTTACTCCGTTGCCATGTGAGTATCCGTTACACTGCGGTGGTAACCATTGCTGGCATGTTCTTCTTTCATCACCTTGCCATTACCCTCCTCTCATCGTCATTCATCTCTGCATCAGACTTTCTCTCGTCCATTCCCCTCACCACTTATCTTCCCCATATGATCTCTCCTCTTCTCCTCTCCATTTCCCTTCTCCGGTTTCCCTCTTTCCCCACCACTTCCCTTCTCCACTTGCCACTCTCTCCCCCTCTCTCTCCTCATATCGCATGTGCCTTCAACACCAGGACTGGTGACGGTGCCAATGACAGTGCAGCGCTCAAGGCAGCAGACGTGGGCCTCAGCATCGCCTCCAAGCGCCACTCCACCCTCGCAGACCTCCCCTCCTCTCGCTCCGTCAATGGAGCATCAGGAGCATCATCATCAGCATCAGCGCCACTGAGAGGGGGTCGCAGGTCGTCAGTGGCTGTGGCACAGTCGGCAGCAGCAGCTTCGGACGCAGCAGCAGCAGCTCCCAGCATTGCGGCGCCGTTTTCCACCCACGTGGCTCACATTGGGGCACTTGTTCCGGTGCGTTTCTGTGCTCTCTCGTTTGTCCCTGCCCTTGCTGCTGCACCTTCGTTGGACTAGCACCAGATCCAGCGACCTCTTTCACTCTTTCCTGCCCATCCTCTCTGTGTCAGCCCCCCATTCCGAGTGTCTCTCTTTCTCTCCCTCTCTCCACCCATGCCTTTCAAACATCCGTGCATTGTTCTTCCCTTTCCCCCTGAATCCCCCCCTCCTTCCCCACCTTGCACCCGCCACATGCCCTCCTCCTCCTCCTCCTCCTCCTCCTCCTCCTCCTCCTCCTCCTCCTCCTCTCCCACCAGCTGCTGAGGGATGGGCGGTGTGCGCTGGTGACAGCAACGAGCATGTTCAAGTACATGATGTTCTATGCCATAGTGCAGACCATGTCCATTGTCGTGCTCTACCCGCTCGCTCTCGAGCTCACAGACATGCAGTATCTCTGGGCAGGTACGGCCCTCTCCCTCTCTCTCTTCACTCTCTCTTCACTTTCTTTTTTCCGACTCAAGAATAGACTCATCGCTCGCTCTCGAGCTCACAGACATGCAGTGCCTCTGGGCACGTACGGCCCTCTCTCTCTTGATCTCACTTTTGAGCCGGAAATAAAATTATGCAATGAATGTCGTTTCTTCATGTGTCCTGTCCTCTGCCACTCCCCTCTCCCCCAGACGACACATGAACAACTCGTTATGCATCTACCCGCACTCATTCCCTTCTCCACTTCTCTGCTCCCTTCTCCTCCCCTCCTCTCCCCTCCCCTCACCTCCTCTCCCCTTCCCCCTCCCCTCCCCTCCCCTCCCCTCCTCTCCCCTCCCCTCCTCTCCCCTCCTCTCCCCTTCCCTCCCCTCCCCTCGCCTCCCCTCCCCTCCCTTCCCATTCCTCCCCTCCTCTCTCTCTTCCAGACCTAGCCCTGGTGTTCCCCATGATCCTGCTCATCCCCACGCTCCTGCCGCGCAAGACACTCTCCCGTGGCCTGCCCGAGACCAACCTCTTCTCGCTCTCCATGCTCGTGGGCATCTACGGCCAGTCCGCCCTCATTGTTGCCACGCAGCTGCTCGCCTCTGCCTTCCTACAGAAACAGGTGCGGCTTAGGATGGGGTCAACGAGGTGGACGGGTTTAGAGGGTGTGAGGGGTGTGAAGGGGCGTGAGAGGATGTGAGAGCGGTGTGAGGCGGTTTCGAACAGAATAGAGTGGCTCTGGATGGGATGTTGCTGCGTTTGCGGTGGGAATGTGGGATGTAATGAGGGGGTAGAAGCTGCAGGAAGCTGATAGGTGAAGTCCAAACTTGGCAGACTTTGACTCCTTCGTCCTCTTCCCTTTGCTTCCTGCATCCTTCTGCCCTTCCTCCAACCTCCATTCCTCTATTGTCTGTCTACCTGCTTTCTATAGCCTCACCTGGAAGTCTCCTTTCTCGTCCCCTCTCCACCCTCCATCCCCCTCTCCACCCTCCATCCCCCTCTCCACCCTCCATCCCCCTCTCCACCCTCCATCCCCCTCTCCACCCTCCACCCGCCTTTCCACCCATCACCTGTACTGCATGTGAGCACCAGTCATGGTATGTGGAGCCAATCATTGGCACTCCAGGGTTCAACCGCAAGGTCAACATCAACACCACTGCCAGCTTCCTCTTTGCTTCCTTCCAGGTAAGCCATTCTTTGCCAATTCTGTAGCCATGCGTGTGTGGGTGAGGAGGGAGAAGGGAAGGCGGGTGTCGGGTAAGGAGGGGGGAGTGTGGGCATGCATATCTGTTTGCGCGTTTTTGCCCACAGTTTTTTTAATATTAGTATTATTATTATTATTATTTGCTTCCCCTTTTTTACATAATTTCTATTCAAATAACACCCTTCTTCTGTTTCCCACTCCTTGCATCCCGACTCCATGACTCCCCCCTCTCTCCCCCCTCCCCCCTGCAGTATCTCTTCCTGGCTGCTGCTGTCAGTCAGAGCTTTGGCCGCTTCAGAGCACACCTGTTCCAAAGCCCTCTCCTCATTGCCGTGCTCCTGCTGCAGTTCCTCTGCTGCACGCTCTTGTTGCTCTACCCATCCGCAACCATCCGCGATGCCTTTGGCCTTGTTGACCTGAGCGGTAAGCCTCTTTTCCTGCTCAACTCGTGACAGTCTTTACACCCAGTTTGAAACAAATCCGTGTGAAGGGTTACAGTTCTGTGTTGAGCCTGCATGGCCTGTGTCATACTTCCTGGATGGGCTTGTACTTGTTGCCACTTACCAAAATGACTCATGATATGTTTTTCCTTTTTTGTTTTGCTGTTCCCATTATCTTCCATACCAGCCTATCCTGACTTCACCATTTCCATCTGGGTCTTTGCCATCATCACTGGTGTAGCCTTCATTCTCTTTGAGCGTTTCGCTGTGCGCCACCAGTCCGCCGAGCCTGACACTGCCGACGCTGACGACCTGCTTCGGCAGGCAGCTGAGTGGCAGGCCAAGGATGCTGCAACAGGGTCAGCCCCGTCACATGGCTCTGCACATGTGTGGATCGGTCATGGGAACAAGAAGGAAGGGGGGTCACAGGGTTGGTATCAGCAAGTGGTGTCTGTGTGGCGGAACATAGGGGGCAGCTGCTATTCTGGGCCATCAACCAAAGACATCAGATTCCTGGCTGCTCAGAAGGAGGCTGGAGCCCTGTGGGATCGATTATGAATCCTGGTTTCAGCAGCAAGGCATCGCCAACTGTCTCACAGCCATCATAAATCTCGGCCTTCACACAGCTCAGTGTTTAGAGTGAAGTCTACTAACGGCACACAGTGCATGTCTAACGGTGCTTCTTTGATGAGATAACTTTCATTAGGTTTGTAATAAATAAGAGGAACGTTGCTTCATTAATCTTCTAATAGAAGTTTTGTCATAGGGTTGGTGATTTTTTATTCAGATAAATATACATTTCTAGATTGATACGTGTTGATTGTACGAACCTATTGATCGGGTATGTATCTTATCAGAAAATATCTTATCGGAGGACTCCACGCCATGTCGGCTTTCGAACATGCCCATGTCAGTTCGTCTGATCCGAAGCCATCCGAGCCAATGATGGCACACCTTTGCTTTGGTTTCCACGCTGGCATGCCTCCACCTCAGCTTACAGATTCCTCTCCTCGTCCGCCTTTCTTGCAACAGTGGCACCCTGTGGGCGGAAAAGTCGATTTCACGACGCGAAAGGAGTTACCATCAGATCAGACAGCTGCTTGTGAGAGAGTCCTGCTGCCTGCAACAGGAAGCCAGGGATATTTGTTCTCTCTTCCATTCTTGAAAGCATTCCTCAGCCAGAAGCTCCTCTGTAGATTCGTGGCAGCTCTTCGCAAGCTCCTTGCATCCTCTGGATCGCATCATGGCTGCTGTTGCACTCTCATCGACTCCGATCGTTCGCAATGGCCTGCAGGCGTCGGGCCTCCGCAGTGCGAACCAGAGCTCGTTTCTTGGATCTGTTCCTGCTCTGCGTGCTGGTGTCGAGCGACCCGTGCTGAAGCACCATGCGCCGACGGTGCGGATGATCGCTGCTCCCGAAAGGCCCACGATTACCAGCATCGAGAACGATATTGATGTGCCTCCCATGCCATCGTTCGAGGAGTGTTTCCCCTCGAGCACGAAGGAATACAGGTGGGTTGCTTTATCCGCTGTTCGGTTTTGGAGTCAGTTTATCAGGAAGCCTTGTTCGCCCTGAACGTCATTCACCCATGTCTCCCTTGTTTATTTTGCCTCATCTTGTGTTTCAGGGAAGTTGTGCACGAGGAGACGGGGACTGTCCTGCGCGTTCCGTTTCGGAGGGTTCATCTGTCAGGGGAGGAGCCTCCTTTCGATGTGTACGACACCAGCGGTCCCCAGAACATCGACTGCAATGAAGGCAAGTTTCAGTGTCTGATTATGTAGAATGTGCTTGGCTCGCAAAGAAAGGCAAGCTGAGGGATGTTTTTGTTGTTTTTTTTTATGTCTTGAATCTTTCTTTTGAGCATTTCTCAGGTCTGCCAAAGCTGAGGGAGGCTTGGATCGCAAGGAGGGAAAAGAGGGGGGACAAGTGCTTTACACAAATGCACTACGCCAAGAAGGGCATCATCACTGAAGAGATGCTCTACTGTGCGACGAGGGAGAAGATGGATCCCGAGTTCGTCCGATCCGAGGTTGCTCGTGGACGGGCTATCATCCCTGCGAACAAGCGACACCCCGAGCTTGAGCCTACGATTGTGGGCCGGAATTTCCTCGTGAAGGTACGAACCCAGTCACCCCAATGTTTTATAAAGTTCTGCACCTGTTTTTGCAGCATTATTGAAACACCATCAATTCTATGTGCAGATCAACGCCAACATTGGGAATTCCGCTGTCGCTTCTTCTATTGAGGAGGAAGTCCAGAAGCTGAAGTGGTCGACTATGTGGGGTGCGGACACAGTAATGGACCTGTCAACTGGGGATACCATTCACGAGACTCGCGAGTGGATTCTCCGTAATTCCGCCGTTCCACTTGGGACTGTTCCAATCTACCAGGTATGTGTCTATGACTGGTTGAAGTAGTGGTTTGGTGTTCTTACATCAAAGAACTCACTGATACTCGCATCCTTTTCCAGGCTTTGGAGAAGGTTAATGGCATTGCTGAGGACCTCACCTGGGAGATTTTCCGTGAGACGCTCATCGAGCAGGTAATTGCAAACCTTTTAAAACAGCGAGATTTCCTTTGTAAGGATCAAGCGTAATTTGGTTAATTTTGTCGTATCCAGGCCGAGCAAGGAGTTGATTACTTCACCATCCACGCTGGTGTCCTGTTGAGGTTCATTCCGCTGACGGCCGAGCGGCTCACTGGCATCGTTTCTCGCGGTGGCTCTATCCATGCCAAGTGGAGCCTCACATACCACAAGGAGAACTTCGCCTATGAGCACTGGGACGAGATTTTGGACATTTGCCGTGAATATGACATTTCCATTTCGATTGGTGACGGACTCAGGCCCGGTTGCATTCGCGATGCCAATGACATGGCTCAGTTCTCGGAGCTGGCGATCCAAGGGGAGCTGACTCGACGTGCCTGGGAGAAGGATGTTCAGGTGTGTTGCTGTGTGGCTTCCTTGCTTTCGATGTTCTTCAGAAAGCTAATGATGGTTGCCTGACTCCGAGACTAAATAAGATTATGGGTTCCTCTGCCTGCAGATCATGAACGAGGGCCCAGGGCACGTTCCCCTTCACAAGATTCCTGAGAACATGAGGAAGCAGCTTGACTGGTGCAACGAGGCACCCTTCTATACGCTTGGCCCTCTCACTACTGACATCGCCCCTGGTTACGATCACATCACTTCAGCAATTGGTGCTGCCACCATTGGCGCCCTTGGTACTGCTCTTCTCTGCTACGTCACTCCCAAGGTAACCTTGACTCTTGGAGTTTCCCAACACTTGCAGGTCAACACTAGAGTTATATCTGGATTTGCGTCTCATCTTGTGGTGTAATCCTTGTCACTCTCCAGGAGCACCTTGGGCTGCCAAACCGTGAGGATGTGAAGGATGGAGTCATTGCTTACAAGATTGCGGCGCATGCTGCAGATCTGGCGAAGCAGCACCCTTATGCTCAGGAGTGGGATGATGCTCTTAGCAAGGCCCGCTTCGAGTTCCGCTGGCGTGATCAGTTTAACCTGTCACTTGACCCAACAACAGCTCAGGTAATGCTCATTGCTGATGCGTTGATCAAGACATGTTTCTTTCATTTTACTGATTGGAATTTGTTGTTCATGTAGGCCCTCCATGATGAGACCCTGCCAGCTGATGGTGCTAAGCTTGCCCATTTCTGCTCCATGTGTGGGCCCAAGTTCTGCTCTATGCGCATCACTGAGGATGTCCGCAAGTATGCTGCCAAGCACGGCTATGGGGAGAACGTTGATGCTGCTGTCCAGGTCAGATACAGTTCTTGGTTGTGAGTGCTTTTGCTTAGATGGTAGCAGGCCCAAATCCTGATCCGTGGTTTGTGGTGGTGGCTCGTGTTTCAGAAAGGAATGGAGGAAATGAGTGCTGAGTTCCTTTTGGCTAGGAAGGTCATCAGTGGGGAGCAGGACAAGGGTGGAGAGATTTACCTGCCTGAGACTTACATCAAGTCATCTGGCTCTGGTGCCAACCTCAATTGAAGCTGACTCTTGCAGTAAGAGGCGTATGCAGCTGATTCTGCTCTGGTTGTAGACCGTTTTCTGACAGGCTTTGTTATTGCTGTGCAGGTTGAAGATGGATGGGATGCTCCCTCCGTTGAAGCTTGTGACTCGTGCCAGTGCTGGCACTTTGAGTCACCTGTTTGGGTCATCTTCCTGTATCATTTTCTTTTTCCCTTGTTCATGAACTGATACGCCTGGCACCGGGGGTGCCCACTCTCCGACACAGCATCAGCTGGCAAAAGCAGCATCGCTATCCCTTATGGATGCATGTGCCATGCCATAAACGCTGTGTCTGGTTGAGTGGGCTGAGAAAAAACCCTTCGCACCTGAACAGGGTAATGCCTGCGAAGGGAGCGTGCCACGTTTCTTGTGTGTGTGTCTCTCTCGTTCTTGCAGGGAGATCTCCCATCGATGTTACTTGTTCCTTTTTGAGTAATGAAAATTATTTCGACCATGAGAAAGAGCCTAAAGAACTTGAACATGCCGTTGCAAGAGATGCTTGTGTCCCATGGTACAAGTGGTGTATCGTGAATTTGGAAAAACAACTGGATGATCGTTGCCGAATAATGTTGGGGTGAACAAAAAATGCTTTTCCGCGCGAAAGCTAGAAGTAGCTGCGCGAGCACTTCGAACTGGTAGACTGGGTAACAGCCAAAAAATTCTCTCACGCTGGCACTGCTAGCAACCAGGTTTTTCTAGAAGGTCGCATGTCCGCCATATCCACTCCTCGCACCGGAATTTGTCCAATCGAAAAGCCATCCTCTCCAGCTCCAACCCCATTGCAAACACGTCACCGCCCTCATCCTCTACCCTCCTGCGCTCATCTCCAGGTGTCGCTTTTTGTCATTCGATATCTTCACATCCACCTCACTTCCTGGACTTCTTCAGTTCATTCCACTCGCTGGCTCCATTCACTGGAAATTCCAAATTCTCTCAAAAATTTCGAGTTTCTCTGTGGTCGCCTCATCAACCTGCTAGAGCCAGCACTACGACACCTTTCCGTACGCTCCAATTATCTGCTTCCGTGTTTTGGCATTTCGTGAAGCAGCAATTCCTAGCCCACTCGTATTCACGACGTGTGGACTCTCCGACCACTCACCGCCGTCAGCTCGTTTGATCCGCCGTCCAGCTTCTTGCCTGATTAGCTACCCGCTCGGAAATAGCGAGCTGCTTCCGTTTCCTCAGTCTCTTAAACAGTTCCTTGGCCCAGGTGAGCTTTGATCAACTTATATTCTCTTACTTTCAAACAGCCGTTTTGCATTCTTCAAGTTCGTTCCGTCGATTGCCGTTGTAAATTTACACGTCCCACCTGCAATTTCGCTGAATCCTTGTGTTAACCTTCTCCAACCTATTTACCTGGATCAGCAGTACCCTCTCTCACAACCGTCCTGAAGCACGACCGTTGTAAAGACTTCTTAAGCACGCCATCACGCCATGGATAAGTACACTCGCGTGGAGAAGCCGCGCGCAGAGGCGCCGATTAGCGAGAATGAGATCCGAATCACCGTCCAGGGGAAGGTCCGCAACTACGTCACCTACGCCGCCACTCTCCTCCAGGTCGGTGATCGTCGGCGATGGTCGGTGGCAGTGGGTGCTGGGGGGTGATGTTTGGTGGCTCTTTTGCACCTGGTTGTCTTGCAGTTAGAAATTGACGTATCATGGTATCCGCATGAGCCTCAACAAGCTTAATATCAACAACCTTAATTTCAATTTTGTGGACGAATTTGGGTAACGCAACGCTATTTTTGTACTTGCCACTAGCGAGACACAGATGCTGCCTCACCTGTTACCAAAGATTCCTCTTTTAGGCCGTGTCGACACGCCTCACCCAGCCCCGTATGCCGACCCTGATTTGTGTTTTCGTTGTTTCCCTCTCGTGCTGTCCCCCTGGATTCGCCCAGAAGCGCCCCGCCCCTCTTCTCCCCTCCCCACCACACCCCCCACCCCGCCTTTCCCTCCCTCTCCCCCAAAAAATAATCCTGTTATGCTTTCCCCTCAGTTTCGGCCTCTCGACGCTCCCCCCTCCCCCATTCTTCCCCTTTTTCCCCCCCCTTTTTTCCTTCTTCCCCCGTTTTTCCTCCCAACTTCCCCCCTTCTTCCCCACGTCGTTCCGACCGCGTCCCTCCGCTTGTGCCGCTGTGAATGCGCGCAGGAGCGCGGGCAGAAGGAGGTGGTGGTGAAGGCCATGGGGCGCGCGATCAGCAAGGCCGTGCTCGTGGCGGAATCCGCGCGGGTAAGGGGGGAATGGGGCGAAGCGTGAGGGGAGGGGGGAAAATGAGAGTGGACGGCATGTGGGAATATCGCGAGGGAAAGATGGAAAGGGTGGTTATGGGAAAAGCGGGGGCGAAGGGGAAGGGAGAGGGGAAGGGGGGGGGGGGAGGGGAGGGGGAGGGGAAGGACGAAGGGGGAAGCGAAAGTCAAAGTCAGCCATTGTGGAGAATGCGCTATGAAGTGCCTGAAATTGTTGATACGGGGGAGCTTGATAGAATCGAATATGTGCTGCCGTTTTTTTTGGCTTCCGTTGTACAAATCCTTGGATTCATGTTTGACATTCCCATGGCTTGTGTGACTGCATGCACCACCCGGCATGGCATGGCATGGCATGGCATGGCATGGCATGGCATGGCATGGCATTGCATGGCATTGCATGGTATGGGATGGCATGGGGATGGCATTTTTATTGCGCCTGTACGGCATGGCTTGGTGATGCATGATACATGTGTGCATGTGTCCACGTGTCCACGTGTCCACGTGTCCATATGTGTGCGTGTGTGCAAGCAGCGTCGCATCCCGGGATTGCATCAGAGCACCGTGATTGGCTCCACAGACATCACGGACCTCTGGGAGCCTCTCGAGGAAGGCCTCTTGCCGTGAGCCCTCTCCCTGCCCCTGCTGCCGCCCCTGCCCCTGCCCCTGCCCCTGCCCCTGCCCCTGCCCCTGCCCCTGCCCCTGCCCCTGCTGCTCCACGCTCCCACTTTTCCCTTGGCCCATTGCTCTCTAAATCCCCTCGGCCCATCGCTACCAACCCCCGTCCCGTGTTCCTCCTCTGTATCAGCAGCCCCGTCTCTTACAGTACATATACCCCACTACAACCGTACCATTTTTCGTTTCACATTTATCGCACCATCTGTCAACTATGTGCCTCAGGAATCGATCCAAACGTTACCCCGTCATTGTTGCACCCACCGCTGTCAGCCCATTTTTCAATAAATATATAACATAATTAATCTGTTGTAAATGCCACGTGGCAGGTTGGAGACCACTCGCCACGTGTCCATGATCAGCATCACCCTCTCCTCTGAACCGCTTGACACCAACGCTCCAGGGTATGTGCCTCTTTCCTTCTTCCACTTGCGCCTCTTTCCTTCTTCCTCCCCCTCTTGCACTTGCCGCCACAACCTTTTTCTTCTATATTAGACAATCACCCCTCTCACGCACTTGGTCTTTGACCCCCCTCCTTCCCCTCCCTCACCTCCCCTTCCCCCCTTTGGCCCTTCCCCTTCCCCCTCTCTCCGTCTCATCCACACCCCTGAGGCCGCACCTTTTCTTCCTTCCCCAGTCGCCCCCAACCCTCCCTCCCTGTCTCGTTCCTTTGCATCTCCTCCTTGCTTCTTTCCGGCCTGTTCCTTCCACATGACACTTCTCCCTTTCAACATCCCAGCTCCGTGTCTTGTTCCTCTCTTTGCTAACCTCCATACCAATCTCGCCAACCCTAACCATTCTCATTCTCCTTCTCCGCGGTTTCCCCACCCCACCGCCCCCTCCCTTCCTTCCCCCCGCCCTCCTCTACCATTTCTTCCCACCCTCGTTCAACCCTGTAGCTACCAGCCCCCGCTGACAGAGGAGGAAATGGCGCGACTCCCGGAAACTTTTGCTGAGGGCGGAGGTGCGTTCATCCCTCTCTTTATCTCACCCGCGGCCAGCCGCGAACCATGTGTCGTAGACCATGCATGCACCTCGCACCATGCACCTCGCACCTCACACCATCCACTGTGCGTGCCCTGTTACTCACCACCTCCACCTCCCATCCTCGGGTCCCTTAACCCAAACCCTGCTCCATTGCTCTTTCTGCCTCATTAGTACTCCGCCCATGCATGTCTGAAAAAACTCGCACGGCATTCACAATTTACTTTTACATGCTTCCATGACCGTTTAAGTTCCCGAGTCTCATCTCTTTGCACCAGCATGAGATGAGATGTTCTTTTTTATCTTCAATTTCGTGTCTCTTCTCTTCTTTGTCTTATCTCTTTTTCTACCAGAGCGGGGTGGGCGACGAGGCAGGGGTCGTGGGCGGGGCGGCAGGGGAAGGGGTCGGGGGAGAGGGGGCGCCATGGGAGCAGCGGGGGGGTTCCCTGGCGCGGCAGCAGCAGGAGGAGCTGTGCCTTCGCAGCAGGGCGATGCTGTGCAGTATCCTTCTCATGGTATGCTACCTTGCACTGTAGGCCAATGCTGAGTCGACTCAGATCACAGCAGGCGGGCACGTGCTGCTCGATATTCGTCCAATGGTGTGCTACCTACCTCGCACACTTGCCGCTGCATGTTGAGTCGACTGCAATCACAGAGGGCAGGCACTTCTCACATGCTGCTCAGTATCCTTCCCATGGTATGCCACCTTGCACTCTTGCCCCTGCCTTCCCCTTCATTCATTTCTGTTCCCCACCTCCCTTCCTAAGCCTTTTGAGTTGTTAGTGAAGGGTGGTACTAAGGCAACACAGAGAGGTTACTGCATGGTCCACCTTGCTTTGTCTTAGTTGCCCTTTCTTTCATAAGCACAGTCCATGTTTCACCTTGTCTCTCCCTCTCCATCTCTCTCCTCACTCTCCCCCTCTCCCCAATTCTGTTCTCCTTTCCCACCCTATCATCAGCAGCACCGGGCACGGCCCCATACAACCCAGAGGGGGCTGATGCAGCAGCAGCCGCAGCAGGGGCAGCAGTGGGGGCGGCAGGAGCAGCAGATGCGTCAGGTCAGCCCGGAAGGGGCAGGGGGAGAGGACGCGGCAGGGGCCGGGGCAGGGGGTATGGCTACAGGGGCCGTGGGGGGAGGAACGGAGCAGGGGGAGCTGCTCCTGGTGCGGGTGGTGAGGGTGGTGGGGAAGGGGGTTCCCTGCCGCATGAGGGGCAAGGGGGGGGGTTTGCGGGTGGAAATCAGGATCAGGGCGGGGCTGGTCAGGAGCAGAACCAGCAGCAGCAGGAACAGGGAGGGGCGGCGGGGGGAAATCAGGGGGGTAGGTCTGGGCGTGGGCGGGGGAGGAGCAGGGGGCGTGGGCGCGGCCGCGGTCGCGGTTATTATGCTGCCACTGGTGGTGACGCTGCTGCTGGTGCTGCTGGTGCTGGTGCTGCTGGTGCTGCTGGTGCTGCCGGTGCTGCCCCTGATGCTGCTGCGGCAAGCTCTGCCCCAGCTGTGTCTACAGCACCTCCCCCTGCCTCTGATGCTGCTGCCACTGCTCCAGCTGCTGCTGCTGCTGCTGCTGCGGTCTAATTGATCCAAGCGCGTCTATTAGGCTGACTGCTCCGGATTGTGGGCCATAGTCCTATGCGCATGAGGCTTGGTTAAAGGAACTCGTTTGGTCAAGGGAAATATACGGTCGAAGTGATGGTTTTGACTGGGGTTGAGTCAGCATGGGTTCTTAGGTTGGTTGACTCAGTTTCAATACAGGGTTGATCATTGATGCGGGATGGTTGGATGGACGGAAAGGGGGAGGGAATCAAGTACTTCTCAGGGTGAATGGACAAAACTTGGAACAGCTGCAATTAGGGTCACCATGGGGAGACTGGACTAGACTATGATGGACTGGATCGAGGATGGGTGGGTGGGTGTCTAATTTGTGATTGCTTGCACCACCCATTTACAAATACATGGTAGCACTGTAGAAACTAGGGCCACTTACTGGAAGGCAATTGCTTGGGCCCGAATGGCGATTGGTCATCGAAACATACGGTACAGTATGCTTTCCACACCAGAGGAGATTTTCTCTGGTGAGACCGTTGACAGGCCCACCATATCATGTCTTTGCTTCTTGCGAGGGCCTGAGGAACTGCAGAATCCGTTCCAGAGTGCACACCCGAAACAAGGCCGAGGCTCCTACACCCATAGAAATTGTCTGAACATACGGTAAAAAAAAACCCGAAAAAACAGAGAAGGCACATAAACAAAACCATACAGTTCAGACCAGGTACCGAAAAAAAGTCTGAACCGACTCTGAATCAGACTACCAAGTCTGATATCTAGGGCAACCCATGAAAATATTTACAGCTACCGTAACAGGTTTTCCTGTCAGCAGCAAGTCTGCAACCATGCAAAGCCCTTAGCGACTCCAACCATCCGTGCTGGTACCGTCACTACCTTCCATCCATGATCAACCACGATGCAGTGTGCATGATATGGGGAATGGATGAATCTCGAGGCAAAGCTGTAGCGGGTAATGTGGATGCTTTTGATCCGATTGACAAAACTCTCTCCAATCAGAATGAGCAGGAATGGGCTGGTGTGGAATCTGGATGGCCTGACTGACTCCAGTAGTAATTGACTTCAAAACTGGATCAGGAGGTAGGTTGTGATGCTGCCTGTAGTGAGGCATCTCAACAACTGCCACGCCCACGCAGCCATGCATGGACTCAAGTGGTCATCTACGGATGGGATCTGCTGGAGGAGGATTGAAGCGAGTGATTCGGATGCTGCCTGCCTGCGTTCTGCTCTTGCCACCCCACTCCTCTCTCCTGCAAGTACCGGTGCACCGGGTGGATACGCACAGTGGCAGCAGTGGGATGGTGAGGTGATTATTAAGATTGAGAGCACCATGTGCGATATACGCACGTGCAGCATAGCTCTATGTGCATCATACGCCGTCGCATCAGAGATATCACCTCTGCTTGAAAGTAACCCAAAGCAAGAGCCTCAAGGACAGAACTCTACCCATCCCTTCCCAAAGCATTACAGAGAGGCAGACTGGAGATGATTTGATGCACTGAACCCCTCCCACTCTCCGCCTCCTCCTCCGTCCCTTCCCCTTCCCCACCTTTCCCCAACCGTACCGCAGGTTTGATTTTGGCTTGCCCAGAGGCGCTGTGCTTGCCTCTACCAGTGATGACCGTTATGCTGATCAGAGCTGCTCAGAGCCGCACACAGCAAGGATACACCATGCATGCAGCAGCGCATTCATGCAGCACCCCATGCATACACACACCTCACACACACCCATCCCAGACAATAGAACAGCACTCACCGAGTCACAATCACCAGCATTAAGCACCACCCCCCCACACACCAAGTCCCTGAGAAAAGGCTCCTGGCACAGCATGAACGAGCTTGGGAAGGGAACGGACCAGCGAGAGGTGCGAGAAGAATATGCAGAGAGACTGGAGAGACGGAGTGGTGGAGAGGGGTGCTGTGGGGTGTCGGTACGCCGCAGAGCTATATGAGGGGAAAAGGTGATGAGGAAAGGCAAAGGGAGACTGGCACGGGATGTAGCGAGGGGCAGATGAAATGTGATGAAGCGTGGAGGGAAGAGGAGCATGGGACGATGTGAGCAGGGAGGGGACTGACTAGCAAGGAACAGCAGCAGTGCATTTCAGAGCAGACTTGTACGACTGTGGCTGCCAAATAGCACAGGGAAACAACCGGATGAGGGGACAAGCTGTTTGGGGAGAAGCCGAAGCACAAAGCACCGAGAAAGAAACCCGATGGAGCGGGCAGGAGCAGCTGGGATGGGTGCTTACTTTTCCCTGAAGATGCTGCCTGCATGAGCTCTTGATACTCCTCCCGATACTCGTGACCCTGGAAGAGGCCCCGGAGAGAGCGAGCGTCCCCCTCCCCTTCCCCCGAGCTCGCTCCCCCGCGCCCCTCCCAAGCGGGCAGCAGCGTCCGCCAGAGGTACTCCTCGCGCACCCACGGCACGAACCGCCCCATCAGCACAGAGGCACCTCCTCCTGCCTCCTCCGCCCCATCAGCACCGATGTGGCAAAGAACGCGCACGCGGGGAGCAGAGCATGCCACGTGGCAGGTTGTTGCCGCCGATGTGGCTGCAGCACGAGCGTGCGCCCCCAGTGCGCGAGGCGCGCCTTGCTCAGCTGCTCCCAGAGCTTCCCCATTGCGAGGTACTGCGCGGACGGCGCCGTGGCTGGGGGGCGGATGCGGAGGAAAGGGGGGAGGGGGGGGGGGGGAGAGGAAGAGGGGAAGAGGGGGAGAGAGGGAGAAGGGGGAGTAGGGGGAGAGGGGGAGTAGGGGGCCGTTGGGGAATAGGAGTGGGGGAACCAGGTGCAGGCGCGCGATTGCTAGCGGAGGGAGCAGGCGATCATGGGGGGAGGGACGAGGGACGCGCGCTGGATTCGGGAGCTGGATAGCGCGTGAGGAGGTCAGAATCGAGGCGCATACACGACTGTTAATGCGCTTTAACAGAGGAGGTGAGAGAAGCGCTGTAACAGAGGAGGCGAGAGAAGCGCTTCAACAGAGGAAAGGAGAGAGGGGGATGGGGAGTACGGGGATCGAACGGCGCCCAGTACCTGGCCGTCTGCGACTCGTCGCACTCAAACGCGCTGCCTTGCGACGGCCGCCCCGCTGCGACGACGACGGCGACGCCAACGAAGCCCATGAACGATCTCAGCGAAATCGTCCGCGTCCCTGCGACGGCCGTCAGAAGTATGTAGCGCATTACTAGGTAGCGCAATAGGCAGCGCATTAGGCGTTAGTATTCCCCCACATCGATGACTAATACTAGTATCAAGTCGACCCTCTCTAGCGTGTTTCGTGCGATCCCTCGCGACAACGCGAGGAGCGATTTCCGTCGCCATGTCTCGCTGGCCAACTTGCACGGTCCGGTGTGTAGTTTGGTGCTAGGAACGCCGATGCGGACCATTGAAGCACTCATGAATCGGAAGGATCACGGATGTGCGGACCGAAGGGAACTTAAGGTATGCTTTGGCTGGAGACGAGGGTGTGACGCGACGCGGCATGCGGAACGCGGTGGCTGTTATTCATACGAACGTTCATCATTAACTATACACCGAGGGAAGTTCAAACACTACTCCTTCTTCCTATGCCTTCTAAGCTACAAGTCAGAATAGAAACTTCTTGCTAAGCCTTCTACTCCTAACAATAACTAGATACAAGTCAGAAGAGAGACTTCTTGCTAATAAGCCTTCTAAGCTTCCTATGACTTCAGTGTGAGCAGAGCAGATCCACTTGCGCGTGCACAGCAGCTTGACTCTTCTTGACCAAACAAGTCTTCTTGCACGTCAAGTCCACAGCAGCAGCTTCGAAGTCTTCTTGACCCCTCTTGGCCGTCAGAGGCAAATGCCCCTGACGTTACACCCACGCACCACGATGAGGTGGGGGCCATTCGCGTGGGACCTGCTTGGGAGGGGGGAAAACGGTCAAAGCTAGAAAGAAGGGCAGATGAAAAAAAAATACATCAGTCACAACTAGAAATACGGGCAGATGAATAAATTTGCACATGGGATCGGACGATTCTCCGTCGTTGTCAGTGTTGTCAGGATGACGGCCAGCCGTCACAAAAAAGAGGCATACCTGAAACACACCTGACCACCACCCATCCCATCGCCCACGTGATTGTGCCTAATCGAACGAGCGCTCCTAAACGTCCTGTTACACACCTCGAATCGGACGATTCCCGTTGGTTGTCAGGAAGAGTTGCCATGACCGCCGGCCGTCAGAAGAGTCGCACCTGACCCCACCCAAGCTGTATCGCCCATGTGCATGTGCCTAATCGAGGAGGGCCTATCGCTCCTAAACGTCCAGTACCCACCCACACCCAAACACATCTTACATGCCTGGTGCTTGCGCTGGTTGCTCCTCCTCCCGCCAAAGCTGCAGTAAAGGGCGGGACGGGAGGGGGAAGTCAAACTCTCCTCGCTCCGCTTCTCCCCGCTCCGCGCCCGATACGTCGTCGCCCGCGCGTGAGGGAGTCCGCGTTGACCTCCCTTGTCGCCGCCGCCAGCGCCATTTGCTCCCGCTCGTCCTGCGCTGAGAGAAGAGCACACAACGAAAAATGTTAGAATCTGGAAAAGGGAACGAAAGCAAATTGAAACTGCTCCTTACCATGTGAGGGAGTCGGCGTAGCTTGAAGTCCCGTTGCCGGCAGCGCCGCTCCCGCTCTTCTGGTCCTGCGCTAAGAGAGAAAACAACGAAAAAAAAAAGTAAGAATCCTTGAAAATAAACGAATGGAAACTGGAACTGCACCTTACCATGTGAGGGAGCCGGCGTAGCTTGAAGTCCCGTTGCCGGCAGCGCCGCTCCCGCTCTTCTGGTCCTGCGCTAAGAGAGAAAACAACGAAAAAAAAAAGTAAGAATCCTTGAAAAAAAACGAATGGAAACTGGAACTGCTCCTTACCATGTGAGGGAGTCGGCGTAGCTTGAAGTCCCGTTGCCGGCAGCGCCGCTCCCGCTCTTCTGGTCCTGCGCTAAGAGAGAACAACGGAAAAAAAATAGTAAGAATCCGGGAAAATAAACGAATGGAAACTGGAACTGCACCTTACCATGTGAGGGAGTCGGCCATCCGCCCGCTAAACGCGGTGGCCGCCCGTTATACGCGCCGTCCGCCCGCACGTCGCGCTGTTCGCCCGCGGGATACGCTGTCCTTCCCTTGCGTCGCCATGTCCCGTGCGTGCGTCGCCGTGCTTCTCCGCCGTGCGCCGTACGCTGCCGTACGCAGTGCGTCTCCGTGCTACTCCGTTTCTGCAGGAAGAGAACAAGATACGTCAAGAAACCTTCAAGAAAAAAACAAAACACGAACTAATTGCTAGACAAGCTACCTTGCGAGGCGCTGCTGCCATGCGTCCGCATGCGTCACATGCGTCCGCATCATGCTTTTCGTGAGACGCAAACGAGGAAGCGTGGCCACGCTTCGCCACGCTCCGTCTCTGCAGAAAGAAAGAAACCGCCGTCAATAACGGAAACGAAACGAGACGAACCGACGGAGCAACAAGGAATGAGTTTGCTGAAGGGCGACTAGTTACCTCAGCCCGGGCGTCCGTCGGTATCCGTCGGCATGCGTCCCCAGTCGCCGCCATCCGTATGCATGCCTTTCACGCGCGGCTGTGTAGCGCCTCCCCGTGCGTCGCAATCCGTCACTCCGTGCGTCGACGTGCTTCCCCGTGCGTCGCCGTGCGACGCTGGCTGACGGTAAGGTTCTGCAGGAAAAAAACAAGAAACCGTCAATAAACTGAAATTGTAAGAAGCTAAGAACGAGCGAGGATTGAATGAAGGTCACGTTACCCCGAGCGAGGCTGCTGGTAGCAAAGCATCCGCTGGATCTCGCTAAAGTATTCGCGTCTGGTGAAGGAGACATTCGTACGCATGCCTTTCCGCAACTTCGCGAGTCTCTAAGCGCGGCTGTGTAGCGCCTCCCCGTGCGTCGCCATCCGTCACTCCGTGCGTCGCCGTGCTTCCCCGTGAGTCTCGCCAATCGTCGTTATAAGGCCTGCAGGAGACGGCAACAGGATAGTCAGCTTGTTTTCCAGAAAAGCAAACGACGCGCGATTGCTAAAAGGACGCGCTTACCTCCACTGCGTCGGTGAAGACTTGGCGCGACGGGGCAGGGGAGGCGCCGCGATGAAGTTTGACAAGCCGCGAGCGTGATGTATCGTCGCTTTCGAATGGCCAAGGCGGCTCGCCGTGAAAAAATCTTGGCGGCTCGCCAAGAGAAGCGTTGGACTTGCTCTTCGAACGCCTCCCACGAGAGACGATGCTCCCATAAACGGCAAGTCGCTCGTCTGCAGGAGAAAACGCGAAATGAGTTAGAAACTTTCTCAAAAGCACGTGAAAAGCAAACGACGCGCGATTGTTAAAACGACGCGCTTACCTCCACTGCGTCGGCGAAGACTTGTTTTGGCAGGAGAGGCGCCACGACGAGCTTGAAGCCATGTTGACTCATAAAGGAGGAACATCGTTCCCATAAAAAGTCGTCCCATAAGGGCAAGATGATCGTCTGCATAAAGAAAGTGGAACGAGTTAGAAACATTCTTAAAAACAAATCTAAGTAGCTGTTCACAAATCGAATAAAAGGACGGTTGCAGGAAGAAGTTGATGAACACATACCTTCACTCGACCTTCCTGCTCATCTGCGCGACACCGGCGAGCACATCTTCGCGACAACTGCGATGACAAGCCGCGAGCGTGACTGCATAGTCGTCCCATAACGGCAAGATGATCATCTGCAGAAAGAAAGTTGATCAAGTTATAAACTTTCTCAAAAACAGATCTAAGGACGGTTCGGAAAACGAATAAAAGCACGATTGCAGGAATAAGTTGATTAACACATTCCTCCTCTCGACCTACTTGGCGGATCTCCGCGAATGTCGCCGCGCCACCGGCGAGAGAAGATGACAAGCCGCGAGCGTTACTGCGTCGTCGCTTTCGTGTGGCTTTCGTATGGCGACTCGCCGTGGAAGAATCTTGGCGGCTCGCCAAGAGAAGAGTTTGACTTGCTGCGCCTCCGGCGAGAGAAGATGCTCCCATAAACGGCAAGACGCTCGTCTGCAGGGAAAAACGTGAACTCAGTAAGAAACTTTCTCAAAAGCACGTGAAAAGCAAACGACGCGCGATTGTTAAAACGATTTTATGAAACGGCAACAGCACTTACCTCGACTCCACCGGAGACGGGAGAGGCTGCACCAGAAGGGGAGGCGCCACGGGGGTACCATGAAGCACCTGAAGCATCGGCGATCGCTGCTGCGTTGTCGCTTGAGTCGCTTTCGAGTCGCCAAGACGGTCGCCGAGACGGTCGCCGAGACGGATCCATCCGCGACGGCAGTTTGCAAGTCCGGCCTTTCAGGTCCGCGACGTTCGAGTCCTCACGGCTTTCATGCTTGAAGCGCCAACGGCAATGAGACGGCGAGAGCCAAATCTTGAGTTGGTTCTGGACCAATCGGCTTCACGTTGGCTTGAGTGCGTCCCGCTTTGCTTGGGTTACGAAGCTTGAGTTTGAAGCACCATCCGCTCTTTAGCCGCTCTTGTAGCGTAGATCGCGAAGTATGATCTCCTCCACGACGAATTTCATGAAAGGAGCTTGCAGAAGAAGCTCGCCATCCAGATCTTGCGTAGGAGATTATGAAATATTCGCGGTGAAATGGTTGCCGCGATAATTCCTAGTAGCACACGGTTTGGCCTTTGACACTTAGCAGCTCACTCTCTCAGGGACTCTAATCTACCCACCCACCCACCCGACCTCTAATCTACCCACCCGACCTCTAACTCAACGCTGCTGTGCCTCGGGCTTCACCGTGTGCCAACTAGGTGACTTCAACTAGCTTTGCTTGCTCCGGGGAGCTTCTAGCCTGAAGTCTAAGCTCATTGGGTTGGAGCTCTCTGGAGAATCCTTCCGTCAGTTTGAGTTGAGAAGGATGAAAATGGACGACATTGACAGAACTTGGATAGTTATGCTCAGAAAGATAGCAAAAGGTAGAACCTGCACCAGAAGGAAGAGGAGGCTGCTGCGGATGAATGGATGAGACTGAATTATAATCAGCAATTCAGCCGCCATGGTGCATCCTATGGCGGCATCAACCCAAATGTGATGGGTCAATGAAGTATAAGTAGTAGAAAGCTAAAGCATTTTCCTTTGTGCAGTGCGGTTGGAAGGGGTCGACACTATTGAACTGCTCGGCTGGGAGGGAATCACTGACACTAGGCTGGGTGCGCGGTGCGACAATAAGCAGAGTGGTTTCGAATGGATGGATGGTGGTGGTGTAGCGGCCCTCAACGGTGGCGATTACATCTGTTTGTGGCATGGAGGTGTGATGGTGGCTTTTGCCATTGGCCAATGAAATGCCCCGCCGACTAAGCGGCAGGGGACAGTCCCCGAGGGCGCGTGGCGAAGATGTTGAGGCGGCTCGGTCGAAATGTGTCCCCGCCGTATCCATCCGGCCAACCCATTATGGAGCATGGTACTGTACACAAAGTTGGTTCAAAATATGTATATTTGTTGCATTTATTTGTGTGTGCAAACGATTTTGCTAAGGGCGCGTATTTTTTATGGTGGGGGTTGGTTGGACCTGCTGGTGTGCTGGGGTGCGCTCGTGCTTTCTGGGCGGTTGGTGGCGTGGCGCTAGTTAGTTGGTTCATGAGTTTTTCCAGTTCGGCGTGAGGTGCGGGACGGCTTTGGTTTGGTTGTGGGATTCGTGCGTGGAGGAGCTGAAAAGTCCAGCTGACTTTTATGCTATTGAACCTTATTCGGGCATCGGGAAAAACTATAGGTGGATGAGAATATATTTGTGCGAACCAATCGGGTGGTGGGTCATTTCGCCACCCTGGCACAACCACAATGGCGTTATCAACAAACCGAACCTGGTATCTCCGAACTTGCCACGCCTGTCACCCGTTCACATCCACTAACAGATGCAATAGCGAGGGTGTGACTAACCTTACCTCATCCTAATCTCCATTCACCAGTAGTTTCGCCACTCATCTTGTACAGCGCGGTGGTCGATGTACTTGCAGCACCAATTTCAGAATCGTAGCAGATGTCACTGACGTTATGGTCTTACTAGTACTAATCGTTTCACCTGTCTAGTGGCGTGATCGCAGAGTAAGCTCTGATATTAGACAGAGCAGTATCAGTACGACAATGTAAGTTACGCGCTCTAGATCTGACATTTTCCTTACTTGCGGATTGCCGACGGAATAGTAACGTTCGTCCGGACAAATGACTGGCGCTGATTGCGGCGCATCAGTAACGTAGCGCGTACCGTCGATTAAACAGGTTGTTTTGTCGACTTGGAGCGCGTCGGCGCTAGCCTGGACGCAGACGGTAAAAAATAGGACGGCAGGTGAAAGCCTCTATTTGAGGGGAGAAGAGGGGGATGGACGGGCGAATGCCTCTATTTGAGGACGGAAAGGAGAGGCGAAAGGTAACAAGGAGTGGCGACCACTTCCCCTTATCGTCGCAATTTCTCTTTTCCGAGGCTGAGAGCAGAGCACGAGTGCCCGCAGTTCCGCTTCGACCACATCTTTTGAAGGTGCGCGGCGAGTCAGGTATGTATGTTCCTTTTCGTTCCCTTTCCCCCCTATACCCCAACCTTGCAACGTCACTCGTCTCTAGCTTCCCCGATTTCCCGTCATTTTCACCGCTCTCCCCTCATCTTTCCGCTCTCCCCTCATCATCCCTGCTCTCCCCCCATCTTCCCCTCTCTCTCTCCCCATTTTCCCCTCTCTCCCCCCATCTTCCTTTCTCTCCCCATCTTACCCTCTCACCCCATCTTCCGCTCTCTCCCCATCATCCCCTCTCCCCATCTTACCCTCTCTCCCCCCATCTTCCCCTCTCTCCCCATCTTCTCCTCCCCCCCTCTTCCCCTCTCTCCCCATCTTCCCCTCTCTCCCCCCATCTTCCCCTCTCACCCCCATCTTCCCCTCTCACACCCATCTTAACCTCTCACCCCCATCTTCCCCTCTCACCCCCATCTTCCCCTCTCTCCTTTCCTCCCCCCCCTCTCTCCCCCTCCCCCCCGAGTCCCCCTTCATATCCCTGCCGCGCTCTCTTGTTCTCCCCTTCTGCACCTACCCTCATCTCCGCTCCCCTCACCCCTCGTTCCCCCTCTCCCCCTCCTCCCCTCTTCCCCTTTTCTGACTCGACTCTCATCTCCTCCCCTCACACATACCTCATCTTTCCCCTGCTCACGCCTCCTCTCCCTCCTCATCCACCCCTCAACTCCCTCCCCTACCCTACCACCGCCCCCCCATCACCCCTCATCTCCCTCACCCCCCTCCCCCCCCCCCCGTCTCCTCCCCACAATCTATCCACCTTCCTCCCTCCTTGGCCCTCCCCTCAACTTTCCCCCGCTCGTCCCTCGTCTGTCCCCATCCATTCACTCCTCATTCCCCTCCCCATCTGTGACTGGTCATGTGGTGATTGGGAGGCCATGTGGTGATTGGGAGGCCATGTGGTGATTGGGAGGCACGGTGGCAGGGGATGAGCTTCTGAAGGCGTGTGGCCCAGGGCAAGAGGGGCTGCAGGGAGGCGAGGGGGAGACGGCAAGGAGGACTGGAAGGCCAGCAGGACGGAGAGCGGCTGGTACGGGGGGCAGAGGGGTGAGCAGAGCGCCTTCACATATTCACTCACAGCATCTGCTGCTCTTTTGTGTGGCATGACCATGCGATGGTGTGGCATTGCATCTGCAGAGCAAGGATGAAGGGTCCAGAATGGGAGCGGTGTGGTATGTGCGATCTCATGCACTCTTGGATCTGCCACACCGAGAGTTCGTTCTTGGCGATTCTTTTATAGGCTCCGAGCAATATGCCGGTAGTTTAGTGGTAATCGGTGGCCATTGTCACCTCCGGGGCGGCTGTAGGATTGACAGTGCAAATGAATTTTTGTTTCTGCTTTCATCTGTTGCACTGCATATAATCCAAGTACATGTAAGCTAGCTACCATTCGTCGGGGGTTGTTAACACGTCCATATACTTGGTATGATACATATTAAAGTTCTCTAGAACATAGGCTTCAGGAACGCAGCACACACCAGAGTTGTCATGTTTGTAGAACGTTTTTTGCAGCCAATATCAACTGCTTTTCAGTCCGAAGTGTACAGTTCAGCAATATACATACAAGACAGCATCTCGATTGAGTGTCGCAGCGGCCTTTCACTCCACCTGCACATTCATCCAAACCGGCCCACCGTTTCCAGCATTCAGTTGTGTCGGTTTTTAGATTGGAAAGCTGTTGAAGTCTTGCTGTTCCCCTGCCCTGGCCCCAGGGTTCATCGACAAAACGCCCAGCCCAAGGGCCACGGTCAACAAAAACAATACAGTGATCCGTTTCTGTTTTGCTTTTTCGTAAGTTGAGCTTCCCGTTTCTCCCTCCCTCCACCTGCTTCCCACCGCACATTTCTTTCCGCTTGGTCCCTTTGATCCAGCCTGTCATTCCTCCCTTTTGCCGCGTTGTCCTGGTCGAACACCCGCTGCTTTTTGGACTCGAGCGGGAAACCCTCGCCTCAGTGAAGATGAGAAATCGAGAAAGAAGACCTTGCGGTTTTTTTCATCGCGGGTAGTATGGTCGGACGAATTTGTTCCTCAATCGACACTCCCTTCGGGATGTTCCTGAATCATTGCCTAGCATTTCCTGGAGATCTTTACTTTCATGCACCCGTTTTGTTTAGTGCGGGTCCTGATTGTCAAAACGGCAACCAGGGCACGGCGACAAGGGTTCCCTCCGACAAGAGAACCCAGACAGTTGCACAGTGCAGTAGTATAGTACAGTACAGTGTTATGGGGAGCTTCGTGTCGCTTCACTTTACTCGAACCCACAGTGGGCGCTTCGATCGCTTGGTTCAACAATTTGATTCTGCTGCACCATTTCGATTCTTCTTTGTCTTCTGGGTTGGCCTTTTGCAGGTGTGGAAAGGGTGTGGGATGTTTCTTGTCCAGGGGAGAGCATGCTTGCTCAAGGGTTCCCTTCTCTCTTCCTCTCAACCTGTGTTTGGCAGGTTCGTGGTTTCGTCTCTCCCATGTTTGCAGGTGCAGCTTCAGGTTCAGTTCGGACTCTGATGTTTGATATGTAGCTGTAGGTTACCAAGGTAAGTTGTTTGGTCACGCTGATAGCAGTGCGTAGTCAGAATAGCCATGACGCATCCTAGCCAGCCGTCGGTACGTTCTCCTCGATCTTCACGAACTTCGTTGCGGCGGACGATATCGCCCAACTCCCCCAGCCCTTACCCAACTCAGCCAGAAGCTGCACGCCCCCTTCGTAACTTCAGCGCGGAAAAGCAGCACAATAATATTCAAGCAGTCAGCTGTGACATGGCGCGAGGAAATTGGTCGGCGTGCGATGACGTAGCACAGGGCGAGGCGACGTCGCCTGTCGTCGTAGGAGCCAGCACGGTGTCGCAAGCGGCGCGCGAATGGCGTCGGCGTGCGACGGCTCGACAAGACGGTTCCAAGCAGAGCCGCAGCCCCAGAGGCGACGCAGAAAAGAATCGATTTCCTAAAGGCGGCAGACCGGGGTTACAGAAATCAACAGGGGACCGCGGCAGCAATAGTAGCATCTGTAGCAGCTCCAGTAGCGGGAGCGATCGTCACCGGATGATTCGCACGAGTAGTTCCTCCAGCACCAGTAGCGTCACGAGCAGCGTGAGCAGGAGCAGTAGCATCGTCAGCAACGGGAGCATGAGCATGAGCATGAGCTTGTCGTTATTGGAAGAGGAGGAAGAGCAGTGCGAGTGTGATTCTATCGGGAGCGGATTACCGGGAACATCTGGTTATCGGTTGAAGTTCACGAGCGCACATGGCGCGGAGGTGTCGCCATGGCACCAGCTGCCTCTCCCAGCATCCGTCCCCGTTCCCCCACCTCCCTCTCCGTCCGCCAGCGATCCCGATGCGCCATGCTTTGCGCAACGGCCTGGCCGCGTTTCGCCGTCCTCCATATCCCACTCTCCGTCGGGCAGGGAGCACGCAAATTTCGCGGAGCTCCTTGCGCCGTCGCCGCGTCGATCCGCGTGCCCCGCGCCGCTTCGCTTCGTCTGTCAGACGCCCCGCGGCTCCGTCGTCGCCTTCGACGTCGCCGTGGACGAGCCCGCCACGCCCCTCCGCTTGCGACGCGCCCCGACCGCCGCTGCCGCCGCTCCCAGAAGCACGGGTACCTCCCGTTCCGCCGGCAGCCGATCCCCCAGTTCCTCCCCTCCGCGCCTTGCGCGCCCTCTAGCCCTCGCCGCGCCCTGCAGTTGCGGGTTCCTCCCGCAGACGTGCGCGCTGGAGCTTCCGCGCGCGCTGCTGTCCGTGGAGGGGGGAGGGTTGGCAGAGAAGGTGGATGGCGCGGAGGCAGGAGCGATGCCGATGATGGCGGTGGAAATAGGGTTGAGTGAGACGTGGACGGGGGATGTGCGACGCGTCATTCCCCTCGCCGCCATGACGGTATGCGTTCCGGGATCTCGGGGCAACGGCAACGCCACCGAGGTCGCCGGCGAGATCGCCGCCGCTTCTGACGCCGCGTTGTCCGGGGAATCGGAGGCGCATGAAAACCGCGGCATGGTCGCGAGCCGCGATAGTACTGACGGGACCTACGGCCGCATGATGTGGGTGGTTGTGACAATAGCGACGGACGATCCTGAAGCGGGGGACGTGTGGCGGTTCATGCGGAAAGCGAGCGAGGCGACGATCGAGGGGATTGTGTCGGGTGTGCGGCGGTGGTTGGAAGACGTGTACCTGCAGACGCACATGCCACCGCAAGGTACGCCACGGGAATCGTTTGTGTCCTGGCATGCAACCATCCAAATGGCCTCAGCTGCTTGCAAAGTGGTTTCTTGTTTTTTCTTTTTTGCCTTTTGGGCTTCTTCCTTTTGAAATTGCTTCATCGAGTTGAGTCGTCTGTTCTCATTTTCTTCCTATGCCCCTTCCACCATCCTTTATGTTTATACATCAGGTGCTGACACAGCCTCCTTCCAGCCATCAACCGGGTACATACTGCCAGCGAAGCTCACCTCTCGACTGCTCATGAAAGCGCACGAAGCGTGGAAGAAAGCGCTGCCGTCCCTCCTCCTGTACCAACCGGAGCCACTACAGCAGCAGCGCCAGCAGCAGTTGCCACCACTGGAGCTGCAGCGTTCTGCATGCATCCCTAGCTCCAAGCAGCAGCACCAGTCTAAGCCCATACCTGCAGTTCCCGTGGCGGGTGCCCCACCGAAACAGCAGCAGGCATATTTTACTCGCCCACCCAGAAGTTCTCCCTCCGCTGCTTCTCCCAAGCCTCCCAGGCATCGTGGTCACGTGTCACCACCAGGCAAGGGGTCTCCCAAGCAGAACACGCCTGCCAGAAGGCAAGAGAGCCTACCGAGTCTGTTCTTGTTCGAACCGGATAATGTTGTTCCGGCGGATCGTCCTTTTGGATTGTGCTTGTCGGAAGATGCATTGGTGCCTTCTGCTGGGAGCCATGGAGGTCAGGATGAGGGTGGTGTTGATCTGTTTCAGTCAGCGCTGTCAGTGTCTCCTGGGTTGCACAGCAGGCGGAGCAGCAGCAGTGGCAGCAGCGCGTTTGGGAGCTTTGATGGGGAGGAGTGTCTGTCCAGTGCAGGCAGCTTGGATCTCGACGGAGGGATTGCCGATGTTCTGAAATGGAGACATGCATCGAAGAAAAGGCTCAGTCCAAGACGGTCACGGCATGGTGAAGGGGCTGTGCGCACCGGTGTGGAGGGAGGGCAGCAACACCATTCGAACAGTAACTCAGCGTGTGGTCTTCCGGAAAACTTGCTAGAAGCTGAGCCAATTCTATTCCTCCGTGAGACTTCAATGTCCCGCAGTAGCTCAAACGCTCGCAGGCGAACTGTGCGGTTTGATGAGGTGGTGGAGGTGCATGTGTTTGACAGCTTTGAAGAGGGCGAGCTCGATGGTGCTAGCTGGTGCGATGCTCCAGATGTGGGGGAAGATGAAGATTACGACGATGAGGAAGAGGATGCACTTGATGCTCATGACGTGGAGTTGAAGTCGTTAGAACCGATTCGACGTTCTAATCGAAGGGATAAGTATGGCATGGCCTAGTTTTATGGTAGGTCCGCCGTCATAATAAGTATGATAATAGTGTGCTTGACATAAATTTGACACTCCTAACTTCTATACAAGTACTTTCTGACCGGGCAAGACTAGTGTATATCAGTACTTTTATGGAACTGTTGTATCATATCCGTTCCATTCTGCCAAGTTGCACTTCCATTGTTGTGAACATGCGCACATTCATTGCCCCCTCAACCGCCAAAAATCGAGCGGAAATGCTCGCGGCAATTCAAGGTCCAGCTGCAAGTGCCCTCTGCGCGAGATATTTGCCCACTGGCTGGCCAAGGAGCCTGCAGCAAGCGCAAATCCCCCATCTGCCTTGCAAAGCCCGTTCGTGGCGGGTCACCCGCACCCATCGTTCCTAGCCCAGCGCGCCTTCTCCTCCGCAACCCATGTCAGATTCCTTCCCCTCTCCCCGCCCCGACCGCTAGACCTCACAGTGGGTTTTCACATGCGCATGTTCCCTGCTTTCCCCTCAGGGCGTGTCTGAAGTGAATTTCGACGTTTGCCGACGAAACTTTCGTCGACGTTCCTTGACGAAACTCGACATCCGTTTTCAGCTGTGTTCACTTCAGACACCCACACGACAAAATAACCCACACGTGCCATAGGAACACTGTTATAAGTTGCCCATGAAAATTCGACGTGGAAT